GGTGTTTGTAGAATCTCCCTCTGCATTTCTTACATACAGGGTCACCTAAACATAAATCTTTATTGATGTTATCTCTCAAGAAAGACAAAACATCTGCCTGATTCAGACAATATATTCTGACTTTATAATCTGCTTTGCAGCAAGCGCACTGCTTGTGTACTGGCATTTTACAAAAATAACAAAAAGTTAATAAAAACTCAACAAAATACTATAATACTATTATATATATGTCACACTTGTATGAATGAAAGTATATTTAACGGTTTAGTGATACACAAGATATGTGCATAAGTCAATTCATGTACGAACTGCACAGAACAAAGTATACTTATATATCTGGATATACCATGTGTTACATACACTGCATTGTAGATTACTGAAGTTTGCTAGTGTTTAAAACAAGACCATGAACAAGGTATACATCAGGGAGATGTCATGTCATACTATTTTATGTTAAAGCTCTAGTGTCAAACCGTCTTATGCTAAAGCTCAAGAATACAACTAATGCACGGAAGAATTATTATACTGTGAAATTTATTTGAAATAATTTTTCATACAGTATAATTCAATATTCATTTTCATTAACCGGAATAAGATAGTGACTGGTTCTCTTGCACTTTAAACTGTAACTAGTCTATTTAAATGGCACGCCTCTCTTACCCTGACTGTAACTTCTTCATTCTTCTCCGATTCCTTCAACTACAACAACTGGAAAAAGCCAGAACGACTTGCGAAACATGCCCAGAGTAGCAGCCATAGGGTAGCCATGACAAAGTGGATCACAGCAAAGGCAAATAAAAAGCAAGAACATCAGTCCTGGTGCAGCTAGATAGTGCACACAGAGATGTGGTCCGCAGGAACAGAGCTTATTTGATAGTTATTGTGGAATCACTCCTCTACACTGCACAACAAAATATCTTCCAGAGAGGGCATGTAGGAGATAGATCTAGCATTGGACAGCAGTCAGACGTCAACCGTGGAAACTTGATCGAGCTTTTGCATCTCCGACATCCCATGGCTAGCTGACAGGTTATAGTCACAACTAGAAGTCCATCAGCAGTGGCTGTCGCCAGAGATTCAAAACGAGATTCTGGAGATTGCATCTGACCTCGTGTTGCAAGACATATCTAAAGCAGTGGAAGAGTCTGGCAGGTTCAGCATCATAGTTGATGAAACGTGTGACAAAAGCAACAAGGAGCAATTGTCAGTGTGACTGCGTTATATCTGCAATGGTCAACCTACAGAATCATTCATTGGCTTCTATGAAGTTACATCCACAACAGGCAAGGCGCTCTTCAAAATGGTGCAGAATGTGTTGGACAGCGTAGTGTTAAGAATGGATGATCTAGTTGGTCAGTCCTACGACGGAGCATCGAACATGTCTGGTCACAAGAAGGGTGTGGCAACTAGAGTACAGGAAGTCGCACCTAAGGCTCTTTATGTTCATTGATATGGGCACCTGCTCAACCTTGCTTTGCAAGATACGTTACAAGAAAACAAAGTTTTAAGAAATGCCCTTGGTGTTGTGCAGTCCCTGCACATTTTTTCAATTCTCCAAAAAGAGAAGGTATTCTCCGCTCTGTGGTTATGCCGGATCTTGATTCACAACCATACCAATCTTACATAAAGTTGAAGTCCCAGAGTGAGACACGTTGGGCCTGTCGATGGGAGGCGGTGAAAGCCATTGAACAACAGCGAGAGAGAATATATCTTGCCCTGATACAACTATCCAAGGACAAGGATGCAAAAACTTCCATTGATGCTAGAGGTCTTGTAAAGGCCATGCTGGAATTCGAGTTTGTAGTGGGACTGCACACTTTGAAGGTGATCTTCTTAAACACGAATGCCCTGGCAAGCTACCTGCAGGGTCATGAAGTCGACGTGATGGCTGCAAAAACTACATGTCAAGCCACGATCAAAACCTTGTCTACGTGCAGGGATGAAGATATGTTATCCCTGATTTGGGGAAAAGCCCAAATAAGTGCACATAATATCAGTGAGGTGGCAGCAGACTTCGAAGAGGTAAAGACAGCAAAAAGGCAAACAAAGCCATCCAGGAGGCTGCAAGCTCTATTGGGAGAAAATCAATATCAACCCATCTCCTTCACTGACATGAAGAGAGCAAGAATTGAGGTCTACTATGATGCACTGGACAGAGTTCTCTCTGAAATGAAGGAGATATTTGCAAGTAGGGACACCGACTTATTAACATCGCTAGCAGATATTGTGCAGGGAAAAGCATCTGAAGACAGCTTCAAGGTAGTGTCGGCCTTCTATGGCATTGAGGAAGATATCCTGGTGGCTGAAGCTGACATTTTCATAATGTGGAAAGCGTGGAATTGAAAACGGCAAATCAGGTGGTCAGCTATCGCACTTCAACTCTCTCTGTGAAACCTTGCCACATTTCACTAAGGTGGCGACAACACTGGCAGTCATACCAGCAACCTCCTGTTCCGCAGAGAGGTCTTTCTCATGCTTGAGAAGGCTGAAAACGTACCTGCGATCCACTATGGGCCAAACCAGATTGTCGCCATTGGGTCTTCTTTGCATTGAAAGAAGCTATGTAAATAAGGTGGACATAAACACTATTGAAGATGTATTAGGCAGACGGAAGGGCAGAAACAGCATGTTCTAGGTTAATTTGCCCTGGACTATGTTATCTTACTCTTGGGGCTTTTGCGGATTCCTATTTTCTATATGATACATGTATGTTGGACTTAGTGATGATATGCTCATCATGTCACATATCTCACATGTCTGTACTGGGATGTTGCTGTGATGTGTGGAAATACCTCATACTGAATACCATGTCCTTCTAATTTTCCTTCAATGTGTAGCCTATATGTCTGCATTCAGGAGTGAGTATTAGTTTTAGGTGTTGAGGCACAAACTATGACCTACAGCTGTATTATCAGCTTCAATAAAGAATAGCACAGTGTACTTGCTTTTGCTGTACTTTCTCTATGCCAAAGTTTTCGATTTTACCCCAGTATTTGCCGATATAATATAGAGGTTTGATGGTTTTTCCATTGATACATGCAAATTAGAGAAATTCTGGAGTTTTGTTAACCCCCCACCCCCGCCCCCAAGCAAACCTCTCCTCCTACGCCTGTGCACTGTTTTGAGTTTCATTTGATTGTTTAAAGATATTATTTTCAGCAATGTTGTCAGTGCTGAATACATACGATGGTGTTCGGAGTATTCAATATATATATATTCAATATAATGAGATTTCTGTGGTGTAATGAGATGTATTTTTACAGTCAATGCCGGTATGGTTGGTATCACAAGCGATGTCGAGTATTACACAGCTTAAAGACGGGATCTACACTCATTGCGACTTTCTTCCGGTTTGCCCAATACATCGATTTTTAATATTAGACAGCAAAACTGTATATTTCCTCGAGAATTGTATACCTATCTCTAAATAAACACAGTTCAGATATTATTTGTGGAATCTATTCCCATAGCTCTTTTCATTTATCCAACAAATTATAATTATCTTCATCATCTCCAAGTGCCGTGACTCTAAACAGAGACGTATATATCACATACAATTGAGTCTAACTCTTCAATGTCCAAATGTTCACATGTGATATATACATCTCTGCTCTAAATGACGATGAGATGTTGACTCAATCAGTTGTGACTCTAAATGATGATGAGAGGCTGAGTACAACAGCTGTGACTCTAAATGACGATGAGATGCTGAGTACAACAGCTTTGACTCTATATGACGATGAGATGTTGACTCAATCAGTTGTGACTCTAAATGACGATGAGATGCTAGATACAACAGCTTTGACCCTAAATGACGATGAGATGCTGGGTACAACAGCTTTGACTCTAAATGACGATGAGATGTTGACTCCAACAGCTGTGTCTCTAAATGATGAGATATTGATATACAAGCACAGCAGGGTTTTTGAGAAAAAGTAGTTTTTTAGAATAACAAATTCTTTGGTTGTCTAGAATTTTTGTACCTATATACCTATCTAGTCCGTGGAAAATTGACTATAATCTACATAGATTTGACAAACCATATCAGCACTTCCAGATGTAATGACGTCTGCACGACTTCCAGAAACACCAATTTCTTCCCTAGGTCCGGCAGCTTCCACCTAGTCTGGCCTTTGCTACCTTGAACTCCTCTGTAAAGCCTAATGCTGGAGGAGAAAATGGGTTGGACACCAAGCGACCTTGGTAGTATCTGCTGATGGATCTTGCCAGTCATTCAACTGTTTTAAAACTATTATACTTTCACGTTAATCAAATTTACTGTAACACATCACATTCTTCATGTATGGCTTGGTGTTAGTGGATTGATATTTACCATATCCAGAGACATATCAACCTTTGCAATTTGATCTCTATCCATTAGCCTTTCTGAGGGTCAGTAAATTTGAGCTCTATCCATTAGCCTTTCTGAGGGTCAGTCAATTTGATCTCTATCCATTAGCCTTCCGAGGGTCAGTCAATTTGATCTCTATCCATTAGCCTTTCTGAGGGTCAGTCAATTTGATCTCTATCCATTAGCCTTTCTGAGGGTCAGTAAATTTGATCTCTATCTATTAGCCTTTCTGAGGGTCAGTCAATTTGATCTCTATCCATTAGCCTTTCTGAGGGTCAGTCAATTTGATTGCTTTCCTGAAAACCAACTGCTTAAAAAACACATTTATGCAGTTAGTTAGTTGTGAGTAAGCCATAAATTCACCAGCATGTTTATAACACAGTAATTTACACAAGGTGTATATTGTTTGTATTACTACAGTCTTCTTAAAAAACACTGGTATTGACTACTGTCACCCATTTATTTCCCAAAAGGCAGTAATGCTCAAGACTGTTCTAGATACACATGTATGCAGTTCCATCTTCAGAACATAAATGTATACATCACTTTATGAATCTGGAAACGATCCTGTGTTAGGACAGAAACAAAAATAGTGATGTCACTATTTATCATAAATGTTTGTTCGCTCACAAACCTGACACAATGTAAATATGATTTAGATTTTATTTTGTCATAGTAGTTATTTCCAGAATCTCTATCTATACATAATCCAGTGTACATATCTATGTTACAAATAATTTACAGGAATCTAAATGGTATATAACATACTGGCACCACTTCTACAGTAGGCACTAATCATGTGCACGTTTGTTTTACAAATATCAGAACGTGAATGGACAAGCAATCACTTTTCTTCACAAAATAAATAAATTTCAAGTTGTTGAAGAACGATGCTGGATCACACTCTGTATCTAACAATATCAAGTAACCAATGTCTTATAAGTTTCATGTTCTCATTTACTGTGTACCATAGTTGAAAGTAGAATGATCCTTCCCTTAAGAACCTAACTTTTTAAAATAATTCATTATCTTACCTGAGAAAAGAATATATAATATAGCTATTTTCTATCTAAATATTAAAAAAAAAATATGTTGTCATCATTTGAAATACCTTAATTAGTATTTAGTGCAATGAGGAACTCTTTTGAAAGAAGGTGATTTAGACATGCATATCATAGGCACAAATCTGTTCACAACCAAGTATGGATTCAAATATCAAACTGCTGGTTTGTACTGTTCAACAATCTCATCATTATCATATTTCTTGAAATTTTCATGAATGGAGATTTAACTCAATAGTCCCGGATTAAGGACTAATTTGGCAAAACAACAAATCAATAAATGTTTGATAAATTTTTCTTTTAGTTCAATATGGATTTTGTTGTTTCAACTTCACCATTGTACTTTACTGGGATACTCTTACTTCAGATACATATTCCTTATACACCAGAAATCTGACAGTATACTGATGAGAGCTATCTCCCTTAACTCCCAAACACAAGATTCCAAAAAGGAAAAATAAAGTCTCCAATCTGGAAAATTTTTACTGCTCACTTCTCAGTTAAACAGAATACAGTCATTCATACTTAACCAATAACAGATTAACTACTACAATTTACACATCTTCCAAATAGAGTATCAAAAGAAATTAATTCAATCCAGAGTCGGGTCCATATAGAAACTTATGATTGGCAATGAAACGCCTCATGATTTTAATGTCTCTCTAATCTGTTCCAACTATATTCCAAATGTAGATGACAATACAAATTTGTGAGAGCAAAATCAAAATTTAAACATGTCAATCTTGGTGAAAGAAACTACTTCTGAAAGGAAGTCTGTGGAGAGACCAGTTCTCTCTCTCATTATTGTTCATGTCAATCACTCACAAACACCAAACTTACACCAAATAAACACTCCTCATTCATACCTCATGTATTTCTCTCACAAACAAACATTCCAAATTATCACAGATGTTTTAAATTGTTTTCAATGCCATACATTTTGGCTTTTAGATTTTTGAGTTCTCCAACAATTTTCTTTGATCGTCCTGCAGTGGCATGCACATTCCTCAAAATCTGCATGTCTATGTCATCAGGACGTTTTATATCCATGTCTTCAGCGAAACCCATCGTCACCTATAATGTCAGAAAAATTGAAAAATATTTTTTTGATAATCAACATACACTAAGTTAAAAACATAAAACACCACTATTTACCTAAATCAACAAACACATTATATGTGTTGGTCTCATTATTTTTGTGTGTCTAATTATTATCTTATCTTATTATTGATACACAGGTAGATACAGTGACCAGTAACATCACATGATGTCCTGGTGGGGGAGTTGTTACTGATACACAGGTAGATACAGTGACCAGTAACATCACATGATGTCCTGGCAGAGAGTTGTTACTGAACACAGGTAGATACAGTGACCAGTAACATCACATGATGTCCTGGCGGAGAGTTGTTACTGATACACAGGTAGATACAGTGACCAGTAACATGACATGATGTCCTGGCTGGGAGTTGTTACTGATATACAGGTAGATACAGTGACCAGTAACATGACCTGATATCCTGGCCGGGAGTTGTTACTGATACACAGGTAGATACAGTGACCAGTAACATCACATGATGTCCTGGCAGAGAGTTGTTACTGAACACAGGTAGATACAGTGACCAGTAACATGACTCATGATGTCCTGGCGGGGAGTTGTTACTGATACACAGGTAGATACAGTGACCAGTAACATGACATGATGTCCTGGCGGGGAGTTGTTACTGATACACAGGTAGATACAGTGACCAGTAACATGACATGATGTCCTGGCTGGGAGTTGTTACTGATATACAGGTAGATACAGTGACAAGTAACATCACATGATGTCCTGGCGGAGAGTTGTTACTGATACACAGGTAGATACAGTGACAAGTAACATGACCTGATATCCTGGCGGGGAGTTGTTACTGATACACAGGTAGATACAGTGACCAGTAACATCACATGATGTCCTGGCGGGGAGTTGTTACTGATACACAGGTAGATACAGTGACCAGTAACATCACATGATGTCCTGGCGGGGAGTTGTTACTGAACACAGGTAGATACAGTGACCAGTACACATGACATGATGTCCTGGCGGGTTGTTGTTACTGATACACAGGTAGATACAGTGACCAGTAACATGACCTGATGTCCTGGCGGGGAGTTGTTACTGAACACAGGTAGATACAGTGACCAGTACACATGACATGATGTCCTGGCGGGGTGTTGTTACTGATACACAGGTAGATACAGTGACCAGTAACATCACATGATGTCCTGGCGGAGAGTTGTTACTGATACACAGGTAGATACAGTGACCAGTAACATGACATGATGTCCTGGCGGGGAGTTGTTACTGATACACAGGTAGATACAGTGACCAGTAACATGACATGATGTCCTGGCGGGGAGTTGTTACTGATACACAGGTAGATACAGTGACAAGTAACATGACCTGATGTCCTGGCGGAGAGTTGTTACTGATACACAGGTAGATACAGTGACAAGTAACATGACATGATATCCTGGCGGGGAGTTGTTACTGATACACAGGTAGATACAGTGACCAGTAACATGACATGATGTCCTGGCGGGGAGTTGTTACTGATACACAGGTAGATACAGTGACCAGTAACATGACATGATGTCCTGGCGGGGAGTTGTTACTGATACACAGGTAGATACAGTGACCAGTAAACATGACATGATGTCCTGGCGGGGAGTTGTTACTGATACACAGGTAGATACAGTGACCAGTAACATCACATGATGTCCTGGCGGGGAGTTGTTACTGATACACAGGTAGGTACAGTGACCAGTAACATGACATGATGTCCTGGCGGGGAGTTGTTACTGATACACAGGCAGATACGGTGACCAGTAACATGACATGATGTCCTGGCGGGGAGTTGTTACTGATACACAGGTAGATACAGTGACCAGTAACATGACATGATGTCCTGGCGGGGAGTTGTTACTGAACACAGGTAGATACAGTGACCAGTAACATCACATGATGTCCTGGCGGGGAGTTGTTACTGATACACAGGTAGATACAGTGACCAGTAACATGACCTGATGTCCTGGCGGGGAGTTGTTACTGATACACAGGTAGATACAGTGACCAGTAACATGACATGATGTCCTGGCGGGGAGTTGTTACTGATACACAGGTAGATACAGTGACAAGTAACATGACATGATGTCCTGGCGGGGAGTTGTTACTGACCACAGGTAGATACAGTGACCAGTAACATGACATGATGTCCTGGCGGGGAGTTGTTACTGATACACAGGTAGATACAGTGACCAGTAACATGACATGATGTCCTGGCGGGGTGTTGTTACTGATACACAGGTAGATACAGTGACCAGTAACATGACATGATGTCCTGGCGGGGAGTTGTTACTGATACACAGGCAGATACAGTGACCAGTAACATGACATGATGTCCTGGCGGGGAGTTGTTACTGATACACAGGTAGATACAGTGACATGATGTCCTGGCGGGGAGTTGTTACTGAACACAGGTAGATACAGTGACCAGTACACATGACATGATGTCCTGGCGGGTTGTTGTTACTGATACACAGGTAGATACAGTGACCAGTAACATGACATGATGTCCTGGCGGGGAGTTGATACAGTGACCAGTCATGACATGATGTCCTGGGGGGAGTTGTTACTGAACACAGGTAGATACAGTGACCAGTAACATGACATGATGTCCTGGCGGGGAGTTGTTACTGATACACAGGTAGATACAGTGACCAGTAAACATGACATGATGTCCTGGCGGGGAGTTGTTACTGATACACAGGCAGATACAGTGACCAGTAACATGACATGATGTCCTGGCGGGGAGTTGTTACTGATACACAGGTAGATACAGTGACCAGTAACATCACATGATGTCCTGGCGGGGAGTTGTTACTGAACACAGGTAGATACAGTGACCAGTAACATGACCTGATGTCCTGGCGGGGAGTTGTTACTGATACACAGGTAGATACAGTGACCAGTAACATCACATGATGTCCTGGCGGGGAGTTGTTACTGAACATAGGTAGATACAGTGACCAGTAACATCACATGATGTCCTGGTGGGGAGTTGTTACTGATACACAGGTAGGTACAGTGACCAGTAACATGACATGATGTCCTGGCGGGGTGTTGTTAACATGACATGATGTCCTGGCGGGGAGTTGTTACTGATACACAGGTAGATACAGTGACCAGTAACATGACATGATGTCCTGGCGGGGAGTTGTTACTGATACACAGGTAGATACAGTGACAAGTAACATGACATGATGTCCTGGCGGGGAGTTGTTACTGAACACAGGTAGATACAGTGACCAGTAACATGACATGATGTCCTGGCGGGGAGTTGTTACTGATACACAGGCAGATACAGTGACCAGTAACATGACATGATGTCCTGGCGGGGAGTTGTTACTGATACACAGGTAGATACAGTGACCAGTAACATGTGAATATCCTGGCGGGGAGTGACTGATACACAGGTAGATCCTGACCAGTAACATGACCTGATCCTGGCGGGGAGTTGTTACTAATACACAGGTAGATACAGTGACAAGTAACATGACATGATGTCCTGGCGGGGAGTTGTTACTGACCACAGGTAGATACAGTGACCAGTAACATGACCTGATATCCTGGCGGGGAGTTGTTACTGATACATAGGTAGATACAGTGACCAGTAAACATGACATGACCTGATATCCTGGTGGGGAGTTGTTACTGATACACAGGTAGATACATTGACCAGTAACATGACCTGATATCCTGGTGGGGAGTTGTTACTGATACACAGGTAGATACAGTGACCAGTAACATGACCTGATATCCTGGCGGGGAGTTGTTACTGATACACAGGTAGATACAGTGACCAGTAAACATGACATGACCTGATATCCTGGTGGGGAGTTGTTACTGATACACAGGTAGATACATTGACCAGTAACATGACCTGATATCCTGGCGGGAGTAACAAAATTTGGTTATATTGAATGGTGAGTGATCAAAATAACCTCACAACTCACTTTATAAAGCTGTCGCTCTACATCCTTTAGTCTAGACCGCAGATTTTTGATGTCATTTTTGAAGCCCTCCACCTCAAGATTCCTCCTCCGCTCAAGATCCTGATACCGCTGGTTCATCATTGCCAGTCGCTTTGTCATCTTGTCACTACGGCCCTGTCATGACCAAAAGAAAACCAAAGTGTTAAGGACACTCATAAATGCAGTGTATTGATGTGTATTGAATTAAAGGAATAATGGAAGTGGTATTATCAATATTGAATGTCATCTGACCTCTAGTGATTGGTCACACACATATGTCTGTATATATATATGTGAAGGTTCAAGATATATCTGCATCTTTTGCAGGATAGTGCATGGTTATAGATCACTGAAGGTTCAAAGTAGTGAACTCTCATAAATTGGTTGAATATTACTTGTGTTCATGGGGATGGATGTATGGAGATTTCAACATCTATGATCAGTTATTCAGTGTACCACTTGTTTGAGCACTCCACATTAACAGTTATCAAAAACAATGTGTATGTTTTAAACTGAGGAGTTCTTCTGGTACTAGAATTTGTAGAAGTTGTGAGTACTCATGGTCACCTTTCTAGCCTTGGGTAGTGTGAATTTCTCTTTAGTCTAGTGGTAGTCTGGCTAGAGGGTCACTATGGCCTCACCAGAATCATCAGTATTGGTGGAGGTGAAAACCACACAGAATCATCAGTATTGGTGGAGGTGAAAACCACACAGAATCATCAGTATTGGTGGAGGTGAAAACCACACAGAATCATCAGTATTGGTGGAGGTGAAAACCACACAGAATCATCAGTATTGATGGAGGTAAAAACCACACAGAATCATCAGTATTGATGGAGGTGAAAACCACAAAAAAGAATTCAATCTAAAGACCAAATTAAAACACCAGCAGCTAGGGACTGTGTTTTTCATTACTCCTTCCAAAAACATCTGTATAAATTGAAAATCTAAACATTTTCATTTTTGAGTTAAAAGATAAACCAATCATGTCTTCAATTTCCAAATCCAATCAACAACCATTGCACAATAGGTTTCATCCCAATAGGAAAAGAGTGAGTAAGTCCTTGCTCACAATTGTACACATGCAAAATTTTCTCTAGAACGCATGCAGTATCCACGATTTAAAAGACTGATATAACATGAAGTAAGCAAAAAACCATATAGGCCTATTAGCTGTTCAAGCATTTAAACATGCATTTCACAACACACTGTAAATTTATAATTAAACCTATAAGCTTATGACAAAACATGAACAGGTAATCAGAGTTGTTGCCGATGTTAAAATAATTACTAACCTTTATAGGCCAAATACAATTGTGTAATCTAAAGACTGCTTTGTTTGTACCTATGTAGTTTGGAAAGAGCATTTCATTTCAGTAAGTATTATATCTTGATCATTTTCTCATCTATGATTACAAACAGAGTTTAAGCTTACCACCAGAATTGATCATAAAGAGCCTACTCCACCCTAGTCAGTGTTGTTACATATTAAAGTTATCATAGTTAATTTGTTGTAACTATATAATTTTGCTCTTTCTTTTTATTTATTTATCTCATATACAGTGAAACCTCGCTATTAAGACCACTTTGGGGACTGGACTAAAGTGATCTTAATAGCGAGGTGGTCTTAATAGTGAGGTGGGTAAGATTGACCGCAAAGAACCGTAACTCTGTTTAAGATAAAAACTAATTATATCATTAAGTAATAATAACTAAACTTTATATAAAATGTTGAATTTTATGAAATGCATGTAAAAAAAATAAAATTTGTGAATTGACACACGAACATGTATGTATATATTCCTTAGTTTATATCATAATATACATGTATATTTGCAATTGTAAACATTGAATAAAAGAAAAACAATCAGTTTTAAGTTCAGTATGAATTTAACATTAATTTTTCATCTTTTTCACATAAATTTACAAACACATTTACTTGTATTTGTAACAACATTAATGAAGTCACTATAAAGTCTTTCAACACTTCATTTTCCACATAAATTTGCAAATACATTAACTCTGTCAGTGTATCACTCAGTACAACACATTTTTCTTTTTACTAAATAATTCACTTTTGGGTATGCAGGGCTTCTAAGGTGTGTAACGGCATCCTACAGATCTATATAATTAACCAACAATAGATTGCTACTAAAACATGTCTGGCATGCAGTTTCACACAAGTTAATCTGTTAATGATGTTTGCATCGTGTAACGCCACCTGGTGACAGGGTCGGTAACCCGTGATGAAAACAATGGTTGTGAACTACACACATGTTCGTGGTTCACTGCCCACCAGGTAAACTTTAATCACTGGTCGGAACTTGGTTGTAATTGTGAGGTCAATTATCGTTAATTAGTGGTCGTTGGGACTGTAAAAAGTGGTCGTAATACGGAATAGCGGGGTGGTCGTAATACAGAAGCGACCAATACAAAGATATATAGTGGGAAAAATCCGGACTGAAAAAAAGTGCTTGTAATAGCAGGGTGGTTGTAATACTGAAGCGACCAATACAAAGATATATAGTGGGAAAAATCCGGACTGAAAAAAAGTGCTTGTAATAGCAGGGTGGTTGTAATTTTGAGGTGGTCGTTAGGTGAGGTTTCACTGTACATGAATCTATGAAATAACAGTATCAACTACTAAATGGACTAATTTCAAAACCTATTTTATATCCTTTCCATGGAGGTATATGTGCATTGATGGATCTTTTTGTAGTGTAAAATTTGGTCCACACTATAAGAAGTCTTGCTAGCAGCTAATTCTAGTGACAGTTATAGACACAGAACTTCCTACAGATGCACAGTCTCTAAAATAAATTATATTTATACTTCAATGTGGTGTGTTATTTATATTTCTTATGTACCCCTTTTTTTTCATTCCTCTTCCAACATCAAACAGTGCAAAACTTCAAATTTGTATTCAATAATGAAATGAAGGTTAAGTAGTTTGTTTCCATACTCAAGTAACCATAAGTGATAGCTATTCCTAATCTAGTGCACATTGAATGATAGGATACCTTGAAGACCTCCCTTGTGACGTCCCCTTCCTCACGTATCCGTGACAACTCATCCTCTAACTGTATCACCTGTTCCCGATACATTTCTGCCAGCTTCTGTGACTGCTGTAGTTGATACTCAAGTGCCTGGAAAGGAGGGAACAAAGAGCTTTAATTTCCACATACATCATTAAGTGTTCACTGTTCTCACTGTCAAATTTGAAAAGGTTTCTAAATCAGTACATTGCTAAGTGACTTAATTTGGTCTGAAGCTAATATAGTTGTTGATAAAAGTTTACCTAAGATATCAATTATTTGATGGGCATTATGTTTTCAATCATCAAATAATTTTCATAGTGTTAGTGATGAAATAGACGACATGTGTTGGTGATGAAATGGACTAGAAGTGTTGGTGATGATATGGACTAGAAGTGTTCATGATGAAATGGACCAGAAGTAATGGTGATGATATGGACTAGAAGTGTTGGTGATGATATGGACTAGAAGTGTTGGTGATGAAATGAACTAGAAGTGTTCATGATGATATGGACTAGAAGTGTTGGTGATGATATGGACTAGAAATGTTGGTGATGATATGGATTAGAAGTGTTGGTGATGATATGGACTAGAAGTGTTGGTGATGATATGGACTAGAAATGTTCGTGATGAAATGGACTAGAAGTAATGGTGATGATATGGACTAGAAATGTTGGTGATGATATGGACTAGAAATGTTCGTGATGAAATGGACTAGAAGTAATGGTGATGATATGGACTAGAAATGTTCGTGATGAAATGGACTAGAAGTAATGGTGATGATATGGACTAGAAATGTTGGTGATGATATGGACTAGAAATGTTGGTGATAAAATGGACTAGAAGTGTTCATGATGATTTGGACTAGAAGTGTTGGTGATGATATGGACTAGAAGTGTTGGTGATGATATGGACTAGAAGTGTTGGTGATGAAATGAACTACAAATGTTGGTGATGATAAGGACTAGAAGTGTTGGTGATGATATGGACTAGAAGTGTTTATGATGAAATGGACTAGAAGTAATGGTGATGATATGGACTAGAAGTGTTGGTGATGATAAGGACTAGAAGTGTTGGTGATGATATGGACTAGAAGTGTTGGTGACGATATGGAGTAGAAGTGTTGGTGATGATAAGGACTAGAAGTGTTGGTGATGATATGGACTAGAAGTGTTGGTGATGATATGGACTAGAAGTGTTGGTGATGATAAGGACTAGAAGTGTTGGTGATGAAATGAACTACAAATGCTGGTGATGATAAGGACTAGAAGTGTTGGTGATGATAAGGACTAGAAATGTTGGTGATGAAATGAACTACAAATGCTGGTGATGATAAGGACTAGAAGTGTTTGTGATGATAAGGACTAGAAATGTTTGTGATGATAAGGACTAGAAATGTTGGTGATGATATGGACTACAAATGGTGGTGATGATATGGACTACAAATGTTGGTGATGATATGGATTAGAAGTGTTGGTGATGATAAGGACTAGAAGTGTTGGTGATGATATGGACTAGAAATGTTCGTGATGAAATGGACTAGAAGTAATGCTGATGATATGGACTAGAAGTGTTGATGATGAAATGGACCAGAAGTGTTGGTGATGATATGGACTAGAAGTGTTGGTGATGATATGGACTAGAAGTGTTGGTGATGATATGGACTAGAAGTGTTCGTGATGAAATGGACTAAAAGTAATGGTGATGATATGGACTAGAAGTGTTCGTGATGATATGGACTAGAAGTGTTGATGATGATATGGACTAGAAGTGTTGGTGATGATATGGACTAGAAATGTTCGTGATGAAATGGACTAGAAGTAATGGTGATGATATGGACTAGAAGTGTTGTTGATGATAAGGACTAGAAGTGTTGGTGATGATATGGACTAGAAGTGTTGGTGATGATATGGACTAGAAGTGTTGGTGATGATAAGGACTAGAAGTGTTCGTGATGAAATGAACTACAAATGTTCGTGATGAAATGAACTACAAGTGTTGGTGATAAAATGGACTTGAAGTGTTGGCGATTAAATGGACTAGAAGTAATGGTGATGAAATGGACTAGAAATGTTGGTGATGATATGGACTAGAAATGTTGATGATGAAATGGACTAGAAGTGTTGGTGATGAAATGGACTAGAAGTGTTGATGATGAAATGGACTAGAAATGTTGGTGATGATATGGACTAGAAATGTTGGTGATGATATGGACTAGAAGTGTTGGTGATGATATGGACTAGAAGTGTTGGTGATGAAATGGACTAGAAGTGTTGGTGATGATAAGGACTAGAAATGTTGGTGATGATATGGACTAGAAATGTTGATGATGAAATGGACTAGAAGTGTTGGTGATGAAATGGACTAGAAGTGTTGATGATGAAATGGACTAGAAATGTTGGTGATGATATGGACTAGAAATGTTGGTGATGATATGGACTAGAAGTGTTGGTGATGATATGGACTAGAAGTGTTGGTGATGAAATGGACTAGAAGTGTTGATGATGAAATGGACTAGAAATGTTGGTGATGATATGGACTAGAAATGTTGGTGATGATATGGACTAGAAGTGTTGGTGATGATATGGACTAGAAGTGTTGGTGATGAAATGGACTAGAAGTGTTGATGATGAAATGGACTAGAAATGTTGGTGATGAAATGGACTACAAATGTTGGTGATGATATGGACTAGAAGTGTTGGTGATGATATGGACTAGAAGTGTTGGTGATGATATGGACTAGAAGTGTTGGTGATGATATGGACTAGAAATGTTGGTGATGATATGGACTAGAAGTGTTGGTGATGATATGGACTAGAAGTGTTTATGATGAAATGGACTAGAAGTGTTTATGATGATATGGACTAGAAATGTTGGTGATGATATGGACTAGAAGTGTTTATGATGATATGGACTAGAAGTGTTGGTGATGATATGGACTAGAAGTGTTGGTGATGATATGGACTAGAAGTGTTGGTGATGATATGGACTAGAAGTGCTGGTGATGATATGGACTAGAAGTGTTGGTGATGATATGGACTAGAAGTGTTGGTGATGATATGGACTAGAAGTGTTGGTGATGATATGGACTAGAAGTGCTGGTGATGATATGGACTAGAAGTGTTGGTGATAAAATGGACTAGAAGTGTTGGTGATGATATGGACTAGAAGTGTTGGTGATGATATGGACTAGAAGTGTTGGTGATGATATGGACTAGAAGTGCTGGTGATGATATGGAGTAGAAGTGTTGGTGATAAAATGGACTAGAAGTGTTGGTGATGATATGGACTAGAAGTGTTGGTGATGATATGGACTAGAAGTGTTGGTGATGATATGGACTAGAAGTGTTGGTGATGATATGGACTAGAAGTGTTGGTGATGATATGGACTAGAAGTGCTGGTGATGATATGGACTAGAAGTGTTGGTGATAAAATGGACTAGAAGTGTTGGTGATGATATGGACTAGAAGTGTTGGTGATGATATGGACTAGAAGTGCTGGTGATGATATGGAGTAGAAGTGTTGGTGATAAAATGGACTACAACTGTTGATGAGGAACTTGACTGAGTATTGGTTAAGTTATAACAAAAGGAAAGATATTTGACATTCTTTTATCACACTATCCATACATTTTCTGAAGTATACAGACTTCATAAATCTTTTTGTAATATGTACCTTAACTTCTTCTATATGGTGGGCTCTGCCTTCGTATGTGCCACCATCTGTCACATTTAATACTGATTCCTTAGATATAAATCTTTTTGTAATATGTACCTTAACTTCTTCTATATGGTGGGCTCTGCCTTCGTATGTGCCACCATCTGTCACATTTAATACTGATTCCTTAGATATATTGAGCTGCTGCTTGAAGTCGTCCATCTCCCTAAGTAACCGATCTTTCTCAGCCATCCACTGCCTCTCATGGGCCCTACCCTGGTACCTCAGCTCTAGGAAGTCTTTTGTACTCTCATATAACAGATCTTGTGTTTTATGAAGTCTGCAAATTAATTGATTTACTAATAAATATTAATACAGAACATGAGAGAATGAAGAAAACAAGAGGCCCAGAGGGCCTGTATCGCTCACCTGGATCTTTATGACCAACATTACTATATCTGTACATATGTTCCACATTTAACACATTTGACCCCTGTGACCTTGACTATGGGTCAAGCTCATTTCTTCTACTTTCTTGGATAAAAGGAACATACTGGCCATATAAATTGATTCCAGGCTTTTCGATATTTCAGAAGAAATTGTTGAAACGTTTTAACACATTTGACTCCTGTGAAATTGAAGATTGGTCAAGGTAATTTCTTTTAGTAAACTTTGTAGGACACCATAACTTTGTTGGGCTTCATCAAAGGAACCTTCCATCCATATATAATGATTCTAGGCCTTCCAGCATTTTGGAAGAAGTTGTTTAAGTGTTTTAACACATTTGACCTCTGTGACCTTGAATATGGGTCAAGGTTATTTTTTTCGCAAACTTTGTTGGGCTTCATCAAAGGAACTATCCAGCCAAATATAATGATTCTAGGCCTTCCAGTATTTTGGAAGAAGTTGTTGAAATGTTTTAACACATTTGACCTCTGTGACCTTGAATATGGGTCAAGGTTATTTTTTTCGCAAACTTTGTTGGGCTTCATCAAACGAACTATCCAGCCAAATATAATGATTCTAGGCCTTCCAGTATTTTGGAAGAAGTTCTTGAAATGTTTTAACACATTTGACCTCTGTGACCTTGAATATGGGTCAAGGTCATCACATTTTGCAAACTTTGTTGGGCTTCAGCAATGGAACCTTCCATCCATATATAATGATTCTAGGCCTTCTGGTATTTTGGAAGAAGTCGTTTAAAGGTTTCAACACATTTGACCTCTCTGACCTTGAATATGAGTCAAGGTCATTTCTTTTTGAAAACTTTGTTTGGCTTCATCAAAGGAACCTTTCAGCCAAATATGATAACTTTTCGCCTATCGGTATTTCAGAAGTTGTTTAAATGAACAGTTGACGGACGCCGGACACTGGACAGACGAACGGATAACGAAAGGGCCAAGTGAGCTAAAAATTGATGGATGGGTCCTGATTGTATAAACATTTACACTGGGTTTTACTTCCACATTTCACAATAATTATGAATTTCTCACATTTTTTAAGATTCAGTTTTTATCCAAATTAAGTAGGATATAATTTAATATGAAATAAATTCTAAGGTAATATCATTGACTTGCATTTTGATATTAGTTACCATTGGTTGTACTTTTTCCAAAAGTGGAGTGCTTTATAGGACATTCTGTAGATGCCATTTTGTGATGCCATAGTTAATATTGTAATTCAGGTGTTGGCGTCAGCAATTTCAACTTTTACCATTGCTAAGGTATTTCTCATGAGTATAACTCTGGCAGTATTCAACAAAAATTGCAAGAATGATCACCACAAATAACAGATTTGAAATAAGTGATTGCAAATTTCCTTGATCATTTTCTTCTAATTTTATGACTCAAAAATTTCTTGATTATTGTAAAACCTGATATTTGAAATTCAAAAAAGAAAAATTTTTAGAATTTTTGGGGGTCTGAGTTTTATACATCTCTAAACTTTCCTCTACATGTTTAGATTTACTAAAATCAATTTATTATTTAAAACCAAGATGATTTGTTAACTTGTTCATAAAAGCCACCTTTTCCAGTTATTAGTCTGTGTATATGGCTAACTAAGATGTTTATCATGCAAACATTTTCATCATCAATGCATCACAAAAGACTTACCACCTGATTAACTTTGGTGAAATTGCCCTTGAGAAGTCAGTATAAAAATGTATTCTGACTACTCAAAGTGACTAGCCCCAAGCTAGAATGCCTGTAAATGAAAACCAGGTGGCTCTGGCCACCAAGCTAATGGATCTTTATACTGTCTGGATCTTTATACTGCCCATAGTATATTTCTAAGTGAAACTAACAATCTTGACAGGCTTACTTCTCTGTGAGTGTATGTATCTTAGCCTCATCTCTCTGTTGTCGTGTGGCCATTTCCTCTTCCTTAACCTTTCTGTCCTCTGCTAATGCCTCAGTCTGCTCTTTGGCCAGCTTGGTCTGCTCCTGCAATTGAGCTTGCAGAGCCTCTACTTGGAGGGCTAGCACCTCGTTGTCATGTTTATACTTTTCCTCTGGGTTCGGCGACATAGACTGTCTCCTCTCTGATAAAGGAAGCTGCTTCTTTTTCAGGCCTTTTGAAAAATGAATAGATCAATATCAATGACACACACAGCACTATAAACTAAATCAGGTAGGTTGTTAAATAAAAACATTTTAAACCAAATCATCTTTTCTTCATACATGTAGTAACAAACTTAAGTTTTACCACAGAAGATATAAACCATGCCAGGAAGTATGTACTTCACGATAAACTATCATTTGAAGAACCATGAAACATATTTTCTATCAGAGAAGAAGACTTCTTTCTCTGTGTCCTAAGAGATGGGGTGTTGTTGACCACTTGACATACCTCCCTTGATTCAATCATAACTTTCAATAGACACTTATTTATGACCCCCTGAGATTTGACTCATGTCTAAAGAGACATACTCATTTAATATTTGTTCAAACACTTTACATTTCAGATAAAAGAGATATTTTGCTTCTTAGAAAACAAAAAGTCATGGGTAAACCAAAATTTCCAACTCTTTGTTGTTGTTGAGACTGGCATATACAGTCGTTATCTCAAAATTCAAGGGACAGTGGAAAATATCTCGACTTACCCGAATTCTGACTCTAACGAAATATATAAATAAGGTTGATAATATCAGTTTCCTGAGGTTGAGTTATGGTTAAACGAAGTGGGGCTAGGATAGCATGCAAACAGCATAGTTTAATCTGTTATTTATATGGCAGTAAATAAAAAAATGAATTTATATTCATTTTCTCCTTTTATTGTTTATACATCTGAACAACAAAACGTGTAATAACAACTCCAATCAAATACATCTGTACTCACATCGTTATGCCCCGAACACATGTACAATATCCATACTGACCAAGCACATATACATGATATATTTTACGGAATGACAAGAAAACGAAATTAAAATTTGCTTTTGTTACGCTTCAAGAAGCAATTATGAAGCTACAGATCATATCAATATGACTAAATTATGAATAAATAAACATATGAAAAAAGCTTCACTGGAAAATTTTTACCTGTTACAGAAAACATTGTACAAGCACTAGACTTAACCATGCACAGATATAAATTCTATCAGCACTTCATTGTCCAAACACTTAATCTGACAAATTGCCCGATAACAGTCCGTAAACAAGCTCAATATTAGTTTCTCTCGGAAATGTAGGGATCAGATTTCATCAAAAAGTTTGTACTGGTTTGACGGTTTCATTTTTATCCTTCCTGCTGATACATGCAAGCAAGCTAAATGTTTTCATGTTTGTGTAAATGTGCTACTTTTGTAAGTTACAGGTAAGTCACTGCTACAGGATGGTGACACTAATTAAGAAACCAAACTTTAATTGGATAATTAAACTGGTAATTGATCGCTGGAGACCAAGTGTTGTGTGTACCATAGACTGATCCGCTGTAATTAGCCATGTGTTACACACTGGTGATTTTCTACTCTGTGTATTTATTGACCAATTTCATCAGAAGACGTGCCGATGTATTGACAAAAATTAATTTCAAGACAACAAATGACTTTTCCCTTGCTTTACAATTGAAGGCACTGAAAAATCGCTTCGACTCAATGAAATTTGAGTAATCTGAAACTAAAATTACAAAGATATAGAAGGAAAAAAATTGGGACTTGAACATAAGTTCGACTTAAACAGAATTTCGACTCAAGCGATTTCAAGGCAAGTTTCAACTGTATGTGAATAATCCTAATTTCTTTGTACTATAAATCTCCATCAGACGAATAAGATTCTCTCTATGGGTTTGGTCTCCACAGCACTCTATGGACAAGTTCTTACCTCTGTTCTGTTTGGTCTCCACAGCACTCTATGGACAAATTCTTACCTCTGTTCTGTTTGGTCTTGACAGCACTCTATGGACAAATTCTTACCTCTGTTCTGTTTGGTCTCTGCAGCACTCTATGGACGAGTTCTTACCTCTGTTCTGTATGCTCTCTACAGCACTCTATGGATGAGTTGTTACCCCTGTTCTGTATGCTCTCTACAGCACTCTATGGATGAGTTGTTACCCCTGTTCTGTTTGGTCTCTGCAGCACTCTATGGACGAGTTGTTACCCCTGTTCTGTATGCTCTCTACAGCACTCTATGGATGAGTTCTTACCTTTGTTCTGTTTGGTCTCTGCAGCACTCTATGGACAAATTCTTACCTCTGTTCTGTTTGGTCTCCGCAGCACTCTATGGACGAGTTCTTACCTCTGTTCTGTTTGGTCTCCACAGGAATCTATGGACAAATTCTTACCCCTGTTCTGTTTGGTCTCCACAGCACTCTATGGATGAATTCTTACCTCTGTTCTGTTTGGTCTCTACAGCACTCTATGACAAGTTCTTACCTTTGTTCTGTTTGGTCTCTGCAGCACTCTATGGACGATTTCTTACCTTTGTTCTGTTTGGTCTCGACAGCACTCTATGGACGAGTTCTTACCTTTGTTCTGTTTGGTCTCCACAGCACTCTATGGACGAGTTCTTACCTCTGTTCTGTTTGGTCTCCACAGCACTCTATGGACAAGTTCTTACCCCTGTTCTGTATGCTCTCTACAGCATTCTATGGATGAGTTCTTACCCCTGTTCTGTTTAGTCTCCACAGCACTCTATGGACGAGTTCTTACCTCTGTTCTGTATGCTCTCTACAGCACTCTATGGACGAGTTCTTACCTCTGTTCTGTATGCTCTCTACAGCACTCTATGGATGAGTTCTTACCCCTGTTCTGTATGCTCTCTACAGCACTCTATGGACGAGTTCTTACCTCTGTTCTGTATGCTCTCTACAGCACTCTATGGATGAGTTCTTACCCCTGTTCTGTATGCTCTCTACAGCACTCTATGGATGAGTTGTTACCCCTGTTCTGTTTGGTCTTTGCAGCACTCTATGAACGAGTTCTTACCTTTGTTCTGTTTGGTCTCTGCAGCACTCTATGGACGAGTTCTTACCTTTGTTCTGTTTGGTCTCGACAGCACTCTATGGACGAGTTCTTACCTTTGTTCTGTTTGGTCTCCACAGCACTCTATGGATGAGTTCTTACCTCTGTTCTGTACGCTCTCTACAGCACTCTATGGACAAGTTCTTACCTCTGTTCTGTATGCTCTCTACAGCACTCTATGGATGAGTTCTTACCCCTGTTCTGTATGCTCTCTACAGCACTCTATGGACGAGTTCTTACCTCTGTTCTGTACGCTCTCTACAGCACTCTATGGACAAGTTCTTACCTCTGTTCTGTATGCTCTCTACAGCACTCTATGGATGAGTTCTTACCCCTGTTCTGTCTATGGATGCTCTGTTCTGTTTGGTCTTTGCAGCACTCTATGGACGAGTTCTTACCTCTGTTCTGTATGCTCTCTACAGCACTCTATGGATGAGTTCTTACCCCTGTTCTGTATGCTCTCTACAGCACTCTATGGATGAGTTGTTACCCCTGTTCTGTTTGGTCTTTGCAGCACTCTATGGACGAGTTCTTACCCCTGTTCTGTATGCTCTCTACAGCACTCTATGGATGAGTTCTTACCCCTGTTCTGTATGCTCTCTACAGCACTCTATGGATGAGTTCTTACCCCTGTTCTGTTTGGTCTTTGCAGCAATCTATGGATGAGTTCTTACCCCTGTTCTGTATGCTCTCTACAGCACTCTATGGATGAGTTGTTACCCCTGTTCTGTTTGGTCTTTGCAGCACTCTATGGACGAGTTGTTACCCCTGTTCTGTATGCTCTCTACAGCACTCTATGGATGAGTTCTTACCTCTGTTCTGTTTGGTCTCCACAGCACTCTATGGACAAATTCTTACCTTTGTTCTGTTTTGTCTCCACAGCACTCTGTGGACGGTTTTTGGTTTTCTGTTCAACTATGGCCTTGGCTGGAGGTTCCTTGAGAAAATAAGTGATCTCACTCTCTGTGGTACCACTCAGACTCAGGAGCTGCTGGATCTTCTTCTTGTCCTCAAGCTCTCGTATCTATAGGACATGTTTATTGTTTTACAACCAAAATCATGGGTTTGAAAATACTAATATCATTAACGTTTCAAAACATTTAACTTTCTGGTTGTCTGTCTTTGTCATGGGCAATTGCTTTGAAATTATGCACATTCAAATGTGAGTAAGGGTTACAATTTATTCATAGTGGAACACAATTACAATGACTTAGGTTTGAGTTTATGATCTACAAACAATAACATTGAGTAGTTTTTTCTTTAATTATTTGATGAAATCTTCAGAGTAGATATAGAGCTCACCTTTAATCGGTCATTCTCGGAGTACAATCGTAGCACGTGTTCCCTCTCTTGGAAAAGGTATATCTGCATATCACTGAGGGCCTTCTGTAACTCTACGATTTCCTCTTCCCTTTGTCGCAGTTCCCATTGCAACTTATGCTGTTTTCAAAAACCATTAAAATAAAACAAAGTGAAAAAATGACCTAACTCTCCTGTACTCTACATCTGTTTTCAGAAATTTATTATTTGGTATTATTTAGAAAATCTTTGCTGTCCTTACAGAACTGTATATCAAAATAAACAGATACTAGTTATGTCAAGTAGCCTCTGTAATTCGTGAAGGTATTTGCAGTCAGTAACTATTGAATTCTGAATCTAATTTTCATCTCAGATATAAATATGAAGTATTTGTTTCACAACAATTGCAAAACAAGTTATAGCAATTTATAAGTATCACACTTGTTGGCCCTGATGTAAGAGTGTTAGGGGTCTTATGATAATTTGTTAGCAGATCTAGATATACAACTGTGATATTTTCAGTTTTCAGTCGCTAATGAAGTTAAACAAGTTATCTCCTTCACACACTAATTTGGCCACAAGAGCAAGCAGACTTTACAATCAAAGTAAGTGGGCTATTGGTTACATGACAAATTTAATCAACCTCTGTAAAACTTTTGCTGTGTTCGTAAATAAATATTGAAAGATAAGCATCAAATCAAAAATTATTTACGTGAAAACTATTATACCAACACAAAATTATTCTGACAAAAATTGATCTTCAATACTGTTTTCCATTAATTAGAATAATGACTTTTCTTACCAACTTTCAACTAACATCAGTGGATAAATTTTAACATAACAACCGGAAACATTTATTTTCCATTCCTACCTGTTCTTCATAGGTGATCTTGTACTCTTCCAATTTGCTAGCCATGAAGTCATGTTCCTCGTCATATTCTGCAATCTTTTTCCTGTAGTATTCAAGTAATTCTCTTGAAGGCCGAAGCTGACCTGTAATTAACATCATATTATTTTTTTGTACAATATTACTTAAACAAACCTGTAGGTTATGTTAAGGGCTGTAATGAGTACTTGAGTACCCATATACAGGTTGGGTCTGACAAATATCGAGTCTGAAAATGTGTACCTGGGTACCCATCAAAATAGGAAACATTCTGTCTTCTATCTGTGTTTACATTTCAGATTGCTGAAGTAATACACTATCTCACTCATTTGTTCTGATTTCATTCACAGAGGCTAATACTTTATCCATTTGTTACATTTCCACATTCAACAATGTCATTCTTTGGTTTTTTCATGACCACACTTTGCTATAGGAACTGTCAAATACATGTGTATACATGTCAGACTTGTATACTATATTTTACCTTGTTACCATGAATAACATGCGAGGATTCCTGAATGAGATTATGTCACATGCTTCGCTGCTCTTGGATTGTACTACCATATATATACAAACAAACACACCAGTTCAAGTTAAGAAAGTGTAATAGATAGCAGAAAAACAATTGGAAATAATGAAAAACCTTGTATTAATCTACTTCTGAGCCTCCCAGCAATGCCACCTTTGGAAAATGAGGAAAACTTGCCAATTCTCTCAGACTTCAAGCTTATCTTAAATAAGTACTTAAATCCAACTTTTCCTGCACTTCTTAGTGTATTTTCTCATTTGAATTAAACAACTTTCTTATTAATTTATTTCAGTGTGTTTGGACTCCTGGTTGTAACTCTTGCTGGTGTCATTCCTACGATGTCATTCAGCACGATAACTGTCAAATACGGTAATGTCTAAGTTCCACTTTACTTCCTGTTGTGCATGTACAAGTAACACCATCCTGCCATATTGCAGTAAGCTTGACAGGCATGTTTTGTCAACTGTTGACCCAATGCAATTTATCTAAAGATTGTTTAAATTACAAAAAAGTTGAGAGGTTCAAAGGACTGCAATAATAGCTCCAGTAAAGTATTTTGTTCAAACAATGGATATGATTGATTTTTATTTGTTCCCCAAAGTTACAAGCCCTTTTCATCAAGGTAACACTGTGTTTCATTATAATGTCAGAAAAAAGTGCCTGGGTACAGATCGGGTATCAAAATGTTGTACCCCTGGCAGCTCTTTTTACAAATGATCAAACCCTCTTCTACAATATATCCTACTCAAACAACAATCTAGCAACTAAAATTTTCACTTCAATGGTGAACATGACTAACTTCATCATTCTTAATCCCCCTGTAATGATCATGCGGACTAAAAAACAGTCAATGAGTTTAAGAAAATTTCTAAACAAAATATACAATAAACCGATCCTGATTAACTCTCTACAATCAACATTCCTAATGCTGATATCAACTCACCAAGTCTTTCATTGATGGTAGGTAAATCTGGACTGCCATTTTCTACACCATAGCTTTGGTCCTGGTCAGCTGTCATGGAATCCAATGCTGTAGAATTATTCATAGATCTAGATACCTTTGGAGAACCTCTTTCCTTCCCTCCACTAAAACAAAGAATTTTAATGAAGTCAGTGTTCTGACACTCTCAGCATCAGTAGTTAGTAGGAAAACTCATGGATATATTTGACAAGTCTGCTTTGATTAAAATAACATATAAACATAGCTGAAGGGTAATACTGTCATGTGATGTCTGGTAATTATATAAAATGTATCTGCCAACCCTTATCTATTCAAGTTCTGTAGAAATGCCAACACATGCCTCTATTTCATAGTTCAAAAACAACTCAAAGCGCATGGGACATGATTTGGACTTTTTGTAAAATGAACTTCAATAGTTTGTGGACTTGTTGGAAAGTGAAATTTGCCAATGTGAACTCACATGAGGCATAATTCCCAGTTGACATGAAGCGATCAGAGCATGAATCACATGATATTCATATGCCCACATTAGATTGATATTTTAGGGTCTGGAGTTCAAATGCAAAGATACACAGACTTGAAAATGGAACTTCCTCTCTCTATGGTAGCCACCAACTGTCCTCCACAACTGATTGCCAGAAAGTATTGACTTTATTTATAAGCGTACAACACTTGGGTGTTGAAGCCTGAAGAGCAAAGATTTTAAATGTTTGAGACAGGAGAAGGTGAAGAGTTAACTCCCTTCCTCTATGTAGCCTTATTTTTTCTGCACTAACTTTCAGTGGTCATGAAATCAAAACTGGATACAGCAATGGAAAAACATGAAGTATAACCTTGAACTCCGGTAAAAAATATTAAAATAATCTTAATCATCCTAAAATTAGGTTTACCTATTTCAATTATATCTATTGTAAAGGAAAAGACCATTGATTGCATATGTAAAAGTGTAAAGTTTTTATCTTTTGAATTGCATAAGAGATATGTGCTATTTTCTGATATAGTTACCTCCCTTGAATTAATATCTAATGATGTTTGATATCTCATTTTTATTTAAATACTTATGAAAAATTTTAAGAGTTATGTACAAGCTATGCAATACCATAATTTATTTTCATTTGCTTTAAAGAAAATATACATAAGTGCACAAATTTGTTGAGTGTTTGCAAGATTTAATAATGCTTTGACTTTACTAATATCCTGATTGATTGTTTAGAACCACCTATCAACTCTAACAAACCACTTAAAACCTGTAAAGGATCAATCAGGTAATGAATTAAAGATGAACTTAGGCTAAGTCAATGTTTCATGTAAAGGAAAAAAAAATACATATCAAAAAGAAACAGGACATTTTTTTAAAAATTCTAATTTGTACAAAAGGGAGAGACAAGTGTTATTTTAAGGAAACAAATTGATATAAGTTGAAAAACTTGTTCCTGGCTCCTTTTTCATTGTTGAAATTATATAAGAATTGCATATTGTAACTTCTCATGAAATCTTATGGTTATACTAACTTCAGTTAAATACCATTTGGCCAAGCTAGATCAAATGGATTTCTTAATTTTTTCAGTTTGCTTAGAAAAAATAGAATTTAATGGGACATGGCATATTATGTTAAAACATACAATGTTTTAGCTTTGGTGAATTCCGAAAATTGATTATCAGTTATCATCACAATTACATACTATGCTATAGGTCCTATATCTTAGATCATAACAAATGCTACGTTTGTAACAGAACTTGACTTGGTTGATCATCAGCGACAATCATCTGATAGCTCAATTGACGAAGTGTTTGTCAAGAGTTCAGAGAGTCACAGGTTTGAGCCATGGTATGGATTTGCATTTTTCCACTCCTATTACATTTTGTGTTTGTGACCAACCCGTGTTTAGAGTGGTTGAATGATGGACAAGCTGATACCTGAACATAGGTCGTTAATAGTGGTGCCTTCTGTGGCAAAGACTTTGAGGAGGGAGAAATGTAGTGATATTCAGCGTGTTCCTCTAGAGTTAGGAGTGTTCCGGATTTGAAACCTCGTCTAGCCGTTCTTTTTTTCGCACATGTACGCTCTTTTCAGGTTTTAACTCTTTGAGAAATGTCAACATGTAAACGTGAAAAAACATTGCATACGGAATTTTACCCAGTAATTCTCATCGTTCAAAAAATGATGTCTTGTTTTCTCATAACCGAGAAAACTGAGAAAAGTAACTTTATTTTAGAGTTTACTTATTCTTTAACTGGCAATAATCACTGGAATTGAAGCAAGTTTCAACTCGTTATGTCAATGTTGGTGTTCATAAAAAGGATCGATATTAATCAATACTACATGGATCTAGATAAATTAGAGGTCGTATGCAATCAAAACTTTGAAAATTATATAATGCCGTGTCAAAAACTTTCAAAAAAGCATTAAAATCTTATTAAAGAACAGTTTGTTTTACCCCTTGCATCTTTTCCCGACAGCAGACGCCATTTTGAAGTTTCCGCTTACATTCGGTCCGACGAAAATAGATATTTAGTTATCAAATTAATCAAAATTAATTGTATGTGTTTATTGCGATAGACATTTTAAAATATACATGCAAAAGATAATCCTAAATCGAAAATAAAATTTAATACGTTATAGTTTTGTGCAAAATATTCAGTCCGAGACAACCAGAAGTTCCAATGACCAATCCATGACCTTGTATGGATAAATTCATCCGCAACAATTTGAGGTCATTTAGGTTTAACACAAACTTATTCAAATGCAAATAATATTCCAAGTATATTTGATCTATCATAATTTTACATTAATCATCAAGAGTTCAATTAGGGTAAAACTTCACGAGTACAAAAATGCCAAAAATTGTAAAGATCTATTTGTAGTGCGCAATCGGAAGCTACTGTGTTAGCAGGCACCAGTACACATATTGGATTTTATACTTCACTTCTATGGATTTACATCAAACTTATTGTTTTGGATGATTGTATGATATTTTGAAAATTGTCAGTTACTTCTTCGTCTCGTGCATGTATCAACATGACGGATGACCCATACAACCGTTTCATTCCGCCACCGGAGGCACCTGTTTTCACTCCAACTGAGGAGGAGTTCACCGATCCATTGGGATACTTGGACAAAATCAGGCCTATTGCCGAGAAAACTGGGATATGTAAAATAAAACCTCCACCGGTTTGTCATTATTCTTTGCTGTTTCACTTCATTTTTTCATAAGCTATGCATTTGTAATGATAAATACTCTCAACAACTCGTCTTATTAATTACAACCTGAAATGAAAACATGACAATCGCCTACGTGCTGGCCAAATCTGCAAACATGGCGACGCTTTTGTTTAGTTTGTCGCTGTCAGATTCATGTGATTTTAAGTCAATTTCTTTGTCTCTTACTAGTCGTTGCCAATCTCTTGGATTTGGCTTTAATGCACACAATCTTGTTATCGGTTTCTCACAGCGTATTAAATTTTTCTGAAATATTTTCCTTTCAAAAGAATATTTGCTTAATATTTTACAAGTCCCTTGCTATCACAGATGAGGGATTCGTGCATACCTTATGAAAGCCTGCGTGAACGCCCAGTCTGCAATACACGGACTAATGACGCACAATGCATCTTTGGACTATCTATAACAAATTGACACCAGAGTGGACAAAAAAGAAAAAAATTAAAAAGAGTATTTGATTGGAAACTAATATAGTTGTCAATTTTTTTTACAATATTACAAATATTTACATTTTTATGCAAACATACTGAAATATTTCATAAATTGCTATGTAAGTCACTGTGCTGATACAAAATGTTCCATGTATTTCATTTGAAAAATTGTGAGGATAGAAATTTTGCAGTACTTTGTCATTGATTATTTAATTAACATCAAAGTGTTCTAAATGATCTACATTTATTGATTTATTATTTTAAACAATGAAACCTGTGCTTTTTGATAAGCATACTTTGATAAAACAGTACTGTATAATACATTATACAATATTTTAAAATCATCTCATCTAAGACCCAAATCAAATCTTTCATAAAAGTTCCTATCTTCTTGTATATATTTTCAATGTCTTCTATTTTTGCAGTCTTCCTTTGGTTTAAAAGATATATTCAAAAACACATCTAGTATCAATCTTATTTGAGTACCACAAACTTAATTTTTTACTTTGTATGATTATCTTACGTTCTAAACTTATTTTCAGAAATACATTTTGAAACCCTATTTTCATCATTTAATTAAAAAAACTTATTTATACATAAAATTGCATTAAGTCTTAAATTAATTTCAATATTTTATACAATTTTTTTATACATCTACTGATGAATATTGATCTTTTACCCCTACATTTACATTAAATGGCACCAAAATAAAAAACAAATATGGATTTCACAATAAATTGCTCACTACCCCACTTGATTTGCTTAATTTCAAATAACAGTATATTATATTATGTATTGTTTATTATATTAGTGTTTCTGAAATTTTATAATGTGCCAAGTTAAGTTGTCTTGTGTTCAGAAAATATAGCAGAAATGAGAAAAGTGTGATGAGGATATTGAAAAGTGGTTGTGCAAAAACAAGATGGCTGCCAGCTGGCTCAGGGAGGAAGCCATAATACAGCAATATTGAATGCATGTATATCTTCAATATGGCTGAGTGTTAGACATGTTTTTGTATCAATTAAATCATACGGTGTTGCAGGATTGGCAGCCACCATTTGCAGTTGATGTGGATAGATTCAGATTTACTCCCAGAGTTCAAAGGCTTAATGAGCTAGAGGTAAGTACAATGTGTATATATATATATATATATATATATATATATATATGTGTGTATAAATATATTACTGAACCTGTGGAACAAGTGCATACTGTTTTTGGAAAAGTTGAGGGAGGTAGGGGAGTGTATTGAAAAAGTCATTTTTCATAAATTTATATATAGAAAAGCAATTTCATAAAGTTCAGTTAAGAAATAAGAATTTTTATTTATAATCGTATGTGATTTGAGATCATTGAGATTTTGGTGGTACATAGGTACAAATATTGCTACCACTTCAGTCACTTGTTAATCATTGGTCTATCCTGTATGGTTTAGATTATTCTTATTTGGCTGTGAAACAAGATCAATATTGTATCCCTTTTACAATATAAACACTAATGCTATGCAAACAGGTATCTAATGAACTTAATAAAGTACTGCAATGATTCAGTGTCATCATTTCTGAAGTAATGATGTTAATAAATATAAAGTATGTGCTGGATGAAACATTGTAGTTTGAAACACTTGAAGAATAATTACAACATGGTACATTATGTAGATGAGTAATTATTAACTGAGCTCAAAATGAATCATATTCAATTCTCTTTTGCATCTTGAAGCCTACAGGTTTAAGATTATTTTGTAATTTTTATGAAAATATATGTTAGGATATCGGTACATTGCTGTTAAAACCAGCATTTAAGCTAGTAGCAAGTGCATGAAGACTTAATTCTTTTTTCTGAATGGTTTGGCAGATGAAGTGGGGGGATGTGATTCTCCTGCATTATGAAGTGTAAAGCTTGCGTTTTAATGTAGTTCGGATTTAATGTTGCTTCTAATTAAACATTAATCAATGAATCTGTATCATATTTGTGATTTATGTGTCTCATTTGGTTGAAGGCTCAAACAAGGATCAAATTGAACTTTTTGGACAAGCTTGCAAGATTTTGGGAATTGCAGGTGAGTTTTGTTGTGTGATACAAGTCAGTGATGTACAGTTGTACAAGTAAATGTTTTCGAAGCTGCTTGACTGTTTCATTGATCATCATTTGTGTAAATTGGATTAAATTCTTTTTATGAGATAAAAATTAAAGATGTCAAGGATGGATTAACAACCTCTAAAATTTGTGCATCAAATTGTATAATGTTTGTGTTGTCAGGGCTGTTCTCTTAAGATTCCACATGTTGAAAAGAAACTATTGGATTTGTACATGTTATACAAGGTAAGTGTATAAAATATGTGCATGAAAATGTTCAAATTTATTATTCATTTAAGTTCCATCATCTTTTATGGTGGAAAAAAATTATTGTTTAAAACAAAGAATTTGTATACACCTCAGGACTTTTTTTAGATAATTGCAAATAGCTAATGAATATACTTACAATTTGTATGAGATTGATGATTAATTTCTATGATGATTAATTTCTTCTGTAATTCACATCTGTTGAAACACTACAGTGTTAACCTAACCAGCTGGGAACATTTTTTGATCAGGAGAGAATTTTATGATTTGTAGTTCCTGGGTAATTTCACAGTTTTCTTTCAATGTTCTGTATAAATTTTTTCCTAGTGTGTTGAGGATGTTGGAGGGATGGAGATTCTTTCCAAGGAAAGGAGATGGTCAAAGGTGGCCACCAAAATGGGCTTTCCATCAGGCAAAGGTGTAGGTGCTGTCCTCCGGGGTCACTATGAAAGGATCCTATACCCGTTTTACCTGTTTATGCGAGGCGACTCCTATGATGCAGTATGTATAGATGTCCTGGTCTTTGAAAAGCACAGAAACACTTGAGTGTCATTTTGAACTTTTGTTGTATCTGATATAATAGTTCATACAACAAACTGAAGTGCATGAAACACAGAATAATACACATTTGTGTTTAGTTTTCACAGAGCAATCCTGTTGAGACTTCAATCCTTTTATTAAGCTACATTCAGTTGGTATTTTAAGGACTACATATATTCAGGGTTTAGTTTCCCTCTCCAAATCCTGCCTACCCTTGTAATAATGATGACCAAAATTGATACAGTTTAAGATCATACAACATTATATTGGATTTTCATTATAATTTATATCAGAACTTTTAGATTTATTTGAAATTTTCTTTGAAACAATTCAAACTTCTATGCAAAACTTGAGTTATTCATTGAAAATTTCAAATTTGAAATTATTGATAATGATTTTATTGTGATACCTTTCAGCTTAAGCATGTATAATTTCAGCAAACAAAGAAAGAAAAGGTGGTTGAAGAAGAGTTTAAAGATGACAAAGATGATAAAGACTACCGGCCCCATGGCATTGCGGCCAAATCTGCCGCTGGCAGCTACAGGCGCTTACCCAAAAGAGAGAGGGCTCTGAAAGAGGTCTGCACCAAGGCACAACAGTCTACTCCTGAAGTACTTGGTTCTTCCAAATTTATTTGTTTGCTAACACCATTAACACCAAATTGTTGTACATAAGTATCATTGCATGTGTTCCTGTCTAGATTAGATAAAATACCTACAACATTCAGAAATCTTGTTAAATAATTTACAGTTTCAGTAATTGATGTAATTTGCTTTGCTAATTAATTCATACTTCTCACAATGAAAATTACTTTTGTTGGATACCATACAAAATTTGTTTTATTATGTGGAATCGCTGCATTGTGAATTACAGCAAGTAAATTGAAGTTGTATTTATCAAAACTTTATTCAGAAGAATTTCATTGCATATTTCTAATTTAAGTTTTAATCCAGAAGAAGTCTAAAAATATTGTTTACCATTTCATGAAGACACCATAAGCTAGGAAAATTTATATGGTAGAATACTGTTTTGTTCTTCGTAAACTGTTCATGTATCATGGTCGTATTTTGTCGGAGTGGTGTAACATTTATGTATTTTTACTATTTCTGATAAGGTAAATTTATGGAGATCTTTTCTGTTTCAGGAGTCTTTAGATATTGATTACTCTGTGAACTCAGAGTTGAAGAAATTACAGTTTTTTGGAGCTGGACCCAAAGCAGCTGTTCCGCCTACCCCTAAAGGTATTTTGCTTTTGTACTTTCAATTTTTCTATAAAATTATAATTGCTGCTTTACCACCTACCCATGAAAGTTATTTGATTTGATAGATACTTTCCACCATGTTTTAATGAATTTTTAAAATGCTTAAATTATAGCCATGTTGGAGTTTATATTTCTAATTTTTGATGTTTCATTATTTGTTATTATAAGGTCATTTCTTTGTGCCTAAGACATTTTAAGACAACAATTAAAAAAAAAAATTCCTTTCAATTCCCACTCCCTTCTTTCTTTCCTTGTTTATCTTTTTTATATATCTTACAATCATTGGTTAATCAGTTTTTCTTTTTTTATTCCCAGAGGAAAAGTTGGAGACAAAGGTATGTAAGGGTAGTAATTCTAAAGGGAAAGGCCAGGATAGAAATGGAGCAAGCCAGGTGTACGGCAGTGTAAGTGTAGTTGCTTACTCTGGTGAGACAAAATGTCTCGTGGCTTCCTTTAAGTTGCTGTTGTTTTCATTATGATTTTATGTAGCATGTTGTACTGTCCCTTTTTGTTTGTCATGTCGTATGGCAAACAAGACAGAAAATTGGAGATAGGTTTACGTTTTAGATTTTGAATTGAAATTGTTAACCCAGCATATCAATAGTATTTTGTCAAGGGTCAGACTAAATGTATTACTAGAGAAAAACATTTCCTTAGGGACACATATTTTTTTTTAATCTCCAACAGTGAACGTTGTTCAAATTTAAGTACCTTCTTCTGTCATACCATATTTCTCAGTCAACAAGCCCATGCGTGGTTATAAGCCCACCAGGATCTATTGCTGTTCAGTGACAAATTCTGTGTCTTTGTCTCGTATAAGACAATCATAGATATTGAATCAGAAGTAATGTATTTGTCCTACTGGCTGAAAGCAAGATAAATACAGTCACTCAGTCCTGGAAAAATCTTTGTTGTAGTCTACTCTTGGGAATTTAACCAAGCATTTAAGTTCGGGCCACTCTCCAGAGACCTGGCAATGTGGGACTTCAAATGAAGACATGTTATAATACATTCATGTTTTTTTTCTCTTCTTTTTTTATTGCTTTTAGTTATGAAGTGAATATGCTTGGAGCAATACAATTTGCATGGGTGTCTTGTTCAAATGATAACTGAAAACGAAATTTGACATTATATGTGTGTATTTGTGATGTTAGATGAGGACATTGTGGGTGAGGACAACAGATGTGTGTATTTGTGAAGTTAGATGAGGATATTGTGGGTGAGGACAACAGATGTGTGTATTTGTGAAGTTAGATGAGGACAATGTGGGTGAGGACAACAGATGTGTGTATTTGTAATGTCAGATGAGGATGGATGAGGACAACAGATGTGTGTATTTGTGATGTCAGATGAGTAAGGATGAGGACAACAGATGTGTGTATTTGTGAAGTTAGATGAGGACAATGTGGGTGAGGACAACAGATGTGTGTATTTGTGATGTCAGATGAGGATGTATGAGGACAACAGATGTGTGTATTTGTGATGTCAGATGAGGATGGGTGAGGACAACAGATGTGTGTATTTGTGATGTAAGATGAGGATGGGTGAGGACAACAGATGTGTGTATTTGTGATGTTAGATGAGGACACTGGGTGAGGACAACAGATGTGTGTATTTGTGATGTTAGATGAGGATGGGTGAGGACAACAGATGTGTGTATTTGTGAAGTTAGATGAGGACAATGTGGGTGAGGACAACAGATGTGTGTATTTGTGATGTCAGATGAGGATGGATGAGGACAACAGATGTGTGTATTTTTGATGTGAGATGAGGACATTGTGGGTGGGGACAACAGATGTGTGTATTTGGACAAACAGATGTGTGTATTTGTGATGTCAGATGAGGATGGGTGAGGACAACAGATGTGTGTATTTGTGATGTTAGATGAGGATGGGTGAGGACAACAGATGTGTGTATTTGTGATGTCAGATGAGGATGGATGAGGACAACAGATGTGTGTATTTGTGATGTCAGATGAGGATGGGTGAGGACAACAGATGTGTGTATTTGTGATGTCAGATGAGGATGGGTGAGGACAACAGATGTGTGTATTTGTGATGTAAGTTGCGGATGGGGGAGGTACACACTTGTGTGTATTTGGGCTTTTAGATGAGGATGGGTGAGGACAACAGATGTGTGTATTTGTGATGTTAGATGTGTGTAGTGATGTTAGATGAGGACAATGAGGACAACAGATGTGTGTATTTGTGATGTTAGATGAGGACAATGTGTGGTGAGGACAACAGATGTGTGTATTTGTGATGTAAGATGAGGATGGGTGAGGACAACAGATGTGTGTATTTGTGATGTCAGATGAGGATGGGTGAGGACAACAGATGTGTGTATTTGTGATGTTAGATGAGGATGGGTGAGGACAACAGATGTGTGTATTTGTGATGTGAGATGAGGACGAGGATGTGTGTATTTGTGAGGACAACAGATGTGTGTATTTGTGATGTTGAGGATGAGGATGAGGGGACAACAGATGTGTGTATTTGTGATGTTAGATGAGGACATTGTGGGTGAGGACAACAGATGTGTGTATTTGTGATGTTAGATGAGGATGGGTGAGGACAACAGATGTGTGTATTTGTGATGTTAGATGAGGACACTGTGGGTGAGGACAACAGATGTGTGTATTTGTGATGTAAGATGATGACATTATGGATGAGGACAACAGATGTGTGTATTTGTGATGTTAGATGAGGATGTGTGTATTTGTGAGGACAACAGATGTGTGTATTTGTGATGTTAGATGAGGATGGGTGAGGACAACAGATGTGTGTATTTGTGATGTGAGATGAGGACATTGTGGGTGAGGACAACAGATGTGTGTATTTGTGATGTTAGATGAGGATATTGTGGGTGAGGACAACAGATGTGTGTATTTGTGATGTTAGATGAGGACACTGTGGGTGAGGACAACAGATGTGTGTATTTGTGATGTAAGATGAGGATGGGTGAGGACAACAGATGTGTGTATTTGTGATGTTAGATGAGGACATTGTAGGTGAGGACAACAGATGTGTGTATTTGTGATGTTAGATGAGGACACTGTGGGTGAGGACAACAGATGTGTGTATTTGTGATGTAAGATGATGACATTATGGATGAGGACAACAGATGTGTGTATTTGTGATGTAAGATGAGGATGGGTGAGGACAACAGATGTGTGTATTTGTGATGTTAGATGAGGATGGGTGAGGACAACAGATGTGTGTATTTGTGATGTTAGATGAGGACACTGTGGATGTGGACAACAGATGTGTGTATTTGTGATGTAAGATGAGGACATTGTGGGTGAGGACAACAGATGTGTGTATTTGTGATGTAAGATGAGGACATTGTGGGTGAGGACAACAGATGTGTGTATTTGTGATGTTAGATGAGGATGGGTGAGGACAACAGATGTGTGTATTTGTGATGTTAGATGAGGATGGGTGAGGACAACAGATGTGTGTATTTGTGATGTAAGATGAGGATGGGTGAGGACAACAGATGTGTGTATTTGTGATGTAAGATGAGGATGGGTGAGGACAACAGATGTGTGTATTTGTGATGTTAGATGAGGATGGGTGAGGACAACAGATGTGTGTATTTTTGATGTGAGATGAGGACATTGTGGGTGAGGACAACAGATGTGTGTATTTGTGATGTAAGATGAGGATGGGTGAGGACAACAGATGTGTGTATTTGTGATGTTAGATGAGGACACTGTGGATGTGGACAACAGATGTGTGTATTTGTGATGTTAGATGAGGACACTGTGGATGTGGACAACAGATGTGTGTATTTGTGATGTAAGATGAGGATGCATGAGGACAACTGATGTGTGTATTTGTGATGTAAGATGAGGATGGGTGAGGACAACAGATGTGTGTATTTGTGATGTTAGATGAGGATGGGTGAGGACAACAGATGTGTGTATTTGTGATGTAAGATGAGGACACTGTGGATGAGGACAACAGATGTGTGTATTTGTGATGTTAGATGAGGACACTGTGGATGTGGACAACAGATGTGTGTATTTGTAATGTAAGATGAGGACATTGTGGGTGTGGACAACAGATGTGTGTATTTGTGGTGTGAGATGAGGACATTGTGGGTGAGGACATTGTGGGTGAGGACAACAGATGTGTGTATTTGTGATGTTAGATGAGGATGGATGAGGACAACAGATGTGTGTATTTGTGATGTTAGATGAGGATGAATGAGGACAACAGATGTGTGTATTTGTGATGTTAGATGAGGATGGATGAGGACAACAGATGTGTGTATTTGTGATGTAAGATGAGGACATTGTGGGTGAGGACAACAGATGTGTGTATTTGTGATGTTAGATGAGGATGAATGAGGACAACAGATGTGTGTATTTGTGATGTCAGATGAGGATGGGTGAGGACAACAGATGTGTGTATTTGTGATGTTAGATGAGGATGGGTGAGGACAACAGATGTGTGTATTTGTGATGTTAGATGAGGATGGGTGAGGACAACAGATGTGTGTATTTGTGATGTTAGATGAGGATGTGTGTATTTGTGAGGACAACAGATGTGTGTATTTGTGATGTAAGATGAGGAGTGTATTTGGTGAGGACAACAGATGTGTGTATTTGTGATGTTAAGATGAGGACAACAGATGTGTGTATTTGTGATGTTAGATGAGGATGGGACATGTGTGTAGGACAACAGATGTGTGTATTTGTGATGTTAGATGAGGATGGATGAGGACAACAGATGTGTGTATTTGTGATGTAAGATGAGGACATTGTGGGTGAGGACAACAGATGTGTGTATTTGTGATGTAAGATGAGATGAGGACATTGTGGGTGAGGACAACAGATGTGTGTATTTGTGATGTAAGATGAGGATGGGTGAGGACAACAGATGTGTGTATTTGTGATGTTAGATGAGGACATTGTAGGTGAGGACAACAGATGTGTGTATTTGTGATGTAAGATGAGGATGGGTGAGGACAACAGATGTGTGTATTTGTGATGTTAGATGAGGATGGGTGAGGACAACAGATGTGTGTATTTGTGATGTAAGATGAGGATGGGTGAGGACAACAGATGTGTGTATTTGTGATGTAAGATGAGGATGGGTGAGGACAACAGATGTGTGTATTTGTGATGTTAGATGAGGATGGGTGAGGACAACAGATGTGTGTATTTGTGATGTTAGATGAGGACACTGTGGATGTGGACAACAGATGTGTGTATTTGTGATGTTAGATGAGGACATTGTGGGTGAGGACAACAGATGTGTGTAGACAAGGACAACAGATGTGTGTATTTGTGATGTAAGATGAGGATGGGTGAGGACAACAGATGTGTGTATTTGTGATGTAAGATGAGGATGGGTGAGGACAACAGATGTGTGTATTTGTGATGTAAGATAGATGAGGACAACAGATGTGTGTATTGTGGTTAGATGAGGATGGGTGAGGACAACAGATGTGTGTATTTGTGATGTTAGATGAGGATGGGTGAGGACAACAGATGTGTGTATTTGTGTGTGTATGTGATAGATGAGGACACTGTGGATGTGGACAACAGATGTGTGTATTTGTGATGTGTAGGATTGTGAGGACAACAGTGTGTATTTGTGATGTAAGATGATGTGTAGGATGAGGACATGTGGATGAGGACAACAGATGTGTGTATTTGTGATGTAAGATGAGTGTGTACAATGAGGACAACAGATGTGTGTATTTGTGATGTTAGATGAGGAGATGAGGATTGTGGGTGAGGATAACAGATGTGTGTATTGTGGGTGGGATGTGGACAACAGATGTGTGTATTTGTGATGTTAGATATGGAGGCAGGATGGGAAGAGGACATTGTGGGTGAGGATAACAGATATGTGTATTTGTGATGTAAGATATGGAGGCATGATGGGAAGATTGTATACGTGTATTTGTGATGTAAGATATGGAGGCATGATGGGAAGATTGTGTATGTGTATTTGTGATGTAAGATATGGAGGCATGATGGGAAGATTGTATACGTGTATTTGTGATGTAAGATATGGAGGCATGATGGGAAGATTGTGTACGTGTATTTGTGATGTAAGATATGGAGGCATGATGGGAAGATTGTGTACGTGTATTTGTGATGTAAGATATGGAGGCATGATGGGAAGATTGTGTACGTGTATTTGTGATGTAAGATATGGAGGCATGATGGGAAGATTGTGTACGTGTATTTGTGATGTAAGATATGTCCCAAAAGAAGCATGATGGGAAGATTGTGTACGTGTATTTGTGATGTAAGATATGGAGGCATGATGGGAAGATTGTGTACGTGTATTTGTGATGTAAGATATGGAGGCATGATGGGAAGATTGTATACGTGTATTTGTGATGTAAGATATGGAGGCATGATGGGAAGATTGTGTACGTGTATTTGTGATGTAAGATATGGAGGCATGATGGGAAGATTGTATACGTGTATTTGTGATGTAAGATATGGAGGCATGATGGGAAGATTGTATACGTGTATTCATATTTCAGGTTGACAGTTACATCTGCCACATGTGTAGTCGAGGAGATGGTGATGAGTACATGTTGCTCTGTGATGGTTGTGATGATGCTTTTCACACCTACTGTCTGATCCCACCCCTTCAGGAAGTCCCAAAAGGAGATTGGAGATGTCCAAGATGCATTCAACAGGTAAATATTGTAATGACCACTAAAATTTTCAATGATGTTTAGATCTGTTGATTTTATGTTAATTGGAATAATTATAACTGTTACATGATTGATGACAGCTTTTACAAATAGTAGATACAAATTTATTGGTTGTGATCAGTATGAATGGTTATAGACTTATATCTTATACTACAGGTGTGCAGTAAACCTCAAGGGCCATATGGGTTTGAGCAATCCAAGAGAGAGTACAGTCTGCAGTCCTTTGGTGAGATGGCTGATCAGTTCAAATCCAACTACTTCAGCATGCCAGTTCATGTAAGTAGATAGTCATGGAGAGAACATTTTGTTTATAACAAATATGTAACTCTAATCTGAAGCTGGGCAAAATAAGAACAAAGAGAAATAAACATAGATATCATTTAAATGAAGAATATAAGAAGTATTAAATAGTATCGATGATAAGGTTTAAATGATTTAATAAGGTCGATCATAAACCAATTACTTCAAGACAAGGAAAATGTATAGAGGCTTTGAAGTAAGTAAACTACACATATAGCCAGGTGTTACATAGAGTAGTAAGTAAACTATACATATAGCCAGGTGTTACATAGAGTAGTAAGTAAACTACACATATAGCCAGGTGTTACATAGAGTAGTAAACTACACATATAGCCAGGTGTTACATAGAGTAGTAAGTAAACTATACATATAGAGTAGTAAGTAAACTACACATATAGCCAGGTGTTACACAGAGTGGTAAGTAAACTGTACATATAGCCAGGTGTTACACAGAGTAGTAAGTAAACTACACATATAGCCAGGTGTTACACAGAGTAGTAAGTAAACTACACATATAGCCAGGTGTAACATAGAGTAGTAAGTAAACTATACATATAGCCAGGTGTTACATAGAGTAGTAAGTAAACTACACATATAGCCAGGTGTTAAACAGAGTGGTAAGTAAACTGTACATATAGCCAGGTGTTACATAGAGTAGTAAGTAAACTACACATATAGCCAGGTGTTACATAGAGTAGTAAGTAAACTGTACATATAGCCAGGTGTTACATAGAGTAGTAAGTAAACTATACATATAGCCAGGTGTTACACAGAGTAGTAAGTAAACTACACATATAGCCAGGTGTTACATAGAGTAGTAAGTAAACTATACATATAGCCAGGTGTTACATAGAGTAGTAAGTAAACTATACATATAGCCAGGTGTTACATAGAGTAGTAAGTAAACTATACATATAGCCAGGTGTTACACAGAGTAGTAAGTAAACTTCACATATAGCCAGGTGTTACACAGAGTAGTAAGTAAACTACACATATAGCCAGGTGCTACACAGAGTAGTAAGTAAACTACACATATAGCCAGGTGTTACACAGAGTAGTAAGTAAACTACACATATAGCCAGGTGTAACATAGAGTAGTAAGTAAACTATACATATAGCCAGGTGTTACATAGAGTAGTAAGTAAACTATACATATAGCCAGGTGTTACATAGAGTAGTAAACTACACATATAGCCAGGTGTTACATAGAGTAGTAAGTAAACTATACATATAGCCAGGTGTTACATAGAGTAGTAAACTACACATATAGCCAGGTGTTACATAGAGTAGTAAGTAAACTATACATATAGCCAGGTGTTACAAAGAGTAGAAAGTAAACTACACATTTAGCCAGGTGTTACATAGAGTAGACAGTAAACTACATAGATGGCCGGATATTATAGTTTAGTAAACATTTATTACTGACGGGCACATGTTTATTTGTTACAGATGGTTGGATGTGAAGCAGTGGAGAAAGAATTCTGGCGCTTGGTTAACTGTATTGAGGAAGATGTATGTGTCCAGTACGGTGCAGACATTCATGCAGCAGACATGGGTAGTGGCTTCCCTACTAAGGAAAATAAAGATTTGTTCCCCGAGGATGAGGTACGTAATCCTCCTAATCACTAAAAAGGTCACAAGGAACACAAATGCCCTACCTTTTATGGTACAATAATTATGGCCAATGTTAAGGTTTTACAAATTTAGGTCAAAGGTCACCATCAAAGTCACTTGATGGTACCACCGGAAATGTCAAGTAACACACATGAATATTAAAGCCCTACCTCTTACAGTTCAAAAGTTATAGGCAAGGTCAAAGTTGACAACAGACAGTATAAAAACAATATGCCCACAATCTTTCGAACTGTAGGGCATGAAAATTAACAGTTCAAAGTTTATATGTCGATAATGAAAACTATATAAGGAGATATATAGAAAATATGGTGCTTGATAAAAGAAGATATATAATTTGATGTCATGGATTTCAGTTGATGCAATGGCAAATTTAGTTAATACCACAACAATAGACTGGAAAGAAGTTTGTGTAGGTAATGCTGTAGCAGAAATCTTGTGTGACACTCAGTGTTTTTTGTTGATAGTAGTACTGACTATTTACAGTATTCATATACATGCGCAATACATCACAATACATATCCTACAAGTCTCCAGTGCAACAATCACTAAAGATTTTCTTGAGTGCTACAAAATGATGGTGACATAAGAGTGATGAAAACAAAGTTTTCTAGCTAATGGTGTGAGGTTTTAGATGATTCATTGCCGAGACTAGCTAATGGTGTGAGGTTTTAAATGATTCATTGCCGATACTAGCTAATGGTGTGAGGTTTTGAATGATTCATTGCCGAGACTAGCTAATGGTGTGAGGTTTTAGATGATTCATTGCCGAGACTAGCTAATGGTGTGAGGTTTTAGATGATTCATTGCCGAGACTAGCTAATGGTGTGAGGTTTTAGATGATTCATTGCCGAGACTAGCTAATGGTGTGAGGTTTTAGATGATTCATTGCCGAGACTAGCTAATGGTGTGAGGTTTTGAATGATTCATTGGCGAGACTAGCTAATGGTGTGGAGACTAGCTAATGGTGTGAGGTTTTAGATGACTCATTGCCGAGACTAGCTAATGGTGTGAGGTTTTAAATGATTCATTGCCGATACTAGCTAATGGTGTGAGGTTTTGAATGATTCATTGCCGAGACTAGCTAATGGTGTGGAGACTAGCTAATGGTGTGAGGTTTTAGATGATTCATTGCCGAGACTAGCTAATGGTGTGAGGTTTTAGATGATTCATTGCCGAGACTAGCTAATGGTGTGAGGTTTTAAATGATTCATTGCTGAGTCTAGCTAATGGTGTGAGGTTTTAGATGATTCATTGCCGAGACTAGCTAATGGTGTGAGGTTTTAGATGATTCATTGCCGAGACTAGCTAATGGTGTGAGGTTTTAGATGATTCATTGCCGAGACTAGCTAATGGTGTGAGGTTTTAAATGATTCATTGCCGAGACTAGCTAATGGTGTGAGGTTTAAAATGATTCATTGCCGAGACTAGCTAATGGTGTGAGGTTTTAGATGATTCATTGCCGAGACTAGCTAATGGAGAGCAGTAAAGAAAAACGGGGGAGGTTTTAAATGATTCATTGCCGAGACTAGCTAATGGTGTGAGGTTTTAGATTATTGCTAATGGTGTGAGGTTTTGGTGTGAGGTTTTAAATGATTCATTGCCGAGACTAGCTAATGGTGTGGAGACTAGCTAATGGTGTGAGGTTTTAAATGATTCATTGCCGAGACTAGCTAATGGTGTGGAGACTAGCTAATGGTGTGAGGTTTTAAATGATTCATTGCCGATTCATTGTGAGATTTTAGATGATTCCGAGACTAGCTAATGGTGTGAGGTTTTAGATGATTCATTGCCGAGACTAGCTAATGGTGTGAGGTTTTAGATGATTCATTGCCGAGACTAGCTAATGGTGTGAGATTTTAGATGATTCATTGATGAGACTAACTAATGGTGTGAGGTTTTAGATGATTCATTGCCGAGACTAGCTAATGGTGTGAGGTTTTAGATGATTCATTGCCGAGACTAGCTAATGGTGTGAGGTTTTAGATGATTCATTGCCGAGACTAGCTAATGGTGTGAGGTTTAAAATGATTCATTGCCGAGACTAGCTAATGGTGTGGAGACTAGCTAATGGTGTGAGGTTTTAGATGATTCATTGCTGAGACTAGCTAATGGTGTGAGGTTTTAGATGACTCATTGCCGAGACTAGCTAATGGTGTGAGGTTTTAGATGATTCATTGGCGAGACTAGCTAATGGTGTGAGGTTTAAAATGATTCATTGATGAGACTAACTAATGGTGTGAGGTTTTAGATGATTCATTGCTGAGACTAGCTAATGGTGTGAGGTTTTAGATGATTCATTGCCGAGACTAGCTAATGGTGTGAGGTTTTAAATGATTCATTGCCGATACTAGCTAATGGTGTGAGGTTTTAGATGATTCATTGCTGAGACTAGCTAATGGTGTGAGGTTTTAGATGATTCATTGCCGAGACTAGCTAATAGTGTGGGGTTTTAAATAATTCACTATGGTATTGCTTTATAATATTCAAATGTCAAATTAAAGAAATAGTTAAATTGTACTGTTTTATTTCCTGCTTTTAGATATTTGTCTTAGGACATCAAATGGGGAAATTTGTATGTAGTGAAATAAGCCTATTGAAGGGTATTTAAATAGCAGTAGAACTCTTATAACATTAGAGGTTTTTGATGACAGGAGTACATTAATTCTGGCTGGAATCTGAATAACCTACCTGTTCTAGAACAATCGGTCCTCTGCCACATTAATGCTGACATCTCTGGAATGAAGGTAGGAAATCCGTTTCATATTCTCGACATCAGACTTTGTTAAATTAATGTTGTCTTTATGGTATTTCTTTCTTTCATCTATATATATGTTACACAAAATATTTCATTATTGTTAAATGAATCAGGTCTGTAAATATATATTGAGTACCCTTTATAAAGTTAGGAATTGCTTTGCATTTGAGAGTTTTAAAAATGAGAAGAAATTATAGAATTCTTTCAAAATTTAACAGATTCCATGGTGTTATGTTGGCATGTGTTTCTCCAGCTTCTGCTGGCACAATGAAGATCATTGGAGTTACTCCATCAATTATCTCCATTGGTAAGTGATCATGGTTCACTTGTGCAAGGAATTGTAAACATCTCTAAAATGTTGATATGTGGATAAACTGTATACAAATTAATGGAGTGCCTGTGAGGGTGCCTGTATTCATAATCCATCCTAGTAAGAAAAGAGGGCTTGATATTAAGAGTTTGATAACTGTAACAGAGGTCATTATTTCAATGCCTTTGCTTGGAATTTAACCCAGGACCTTTTTAAAGTTTTGTGCTCAGCAGAGTGGGCTAAAGAGAAATCTCCTCTAGCAATGCATTGTAGCTAGTATTTACCAGGGTTATGTAAGCAAGGTTAGAATTGTGATTATACCATTCTGTGTTGTGACCACCATTTTCTTGCATGTTACCAGGGGTGAGCCGAAGACATGGTATGGTGTGCCAGGCGAGTGTGCTGACCAATTTGAGGATGCTATGAAAGCCAATGCTCCAGAGTTATTTGAGCATTCCCCTGATCTTCTACATCAGTTGACAACTATTATGAACCCAAACATCTTGATGGACATGGGTGTTCCGGTACGTTTCTCTGGAACAGTATATTCAGAGGATTTGTGTTATTCAGAATTCAACAGATTTTTTCTGAAAGATACTGGTAAACAGACAACTTTTATATACATAATAAAATGTATATTAAGGTGATCATGGCTTTTAAGTTAGTCTATTTTCTGACCATGAAATAGTAATGACTATGAAATATATTGAAGTCCATTTATTTTTGAGCAGTGGATGGTTGTTTGGTTCCACTGGTCTAATATTTTACAGGTGTACCCATTTGGCTAGGTCACACATATTGCATTTTTGCATGTCCATGTTAAGAGGCATATAATATATTTCCTGAGATTTTCATTCAATTTAAAAATGTTCACATTTATATTGAATTTTTCATTGACATATTGAATTTTTCATTGACCTCGAATATAGTGAAATTTAATTCCCCACAAATATTACTAATTATACAGGATTCTTTTATCAATATACACCTTTTATAACATTTATAGAGCTCTCACTATATTCAGCTTTATTTAAAGTTCTAATGTTTATTGATTAATTTGTAAATATGAATTGATGTTACATTCACAGATTGTGAGAACAAACCAACAAGCAGGGGAATTCATTGTTACCTTTCCACGAGCCTATCATGCAGGATTCAACCAAGGCTACAACTTTGCTGAGGCAGTCAACTTCTGTCCAGCTGATTGGGTGAGTTTTCCTCTTACAAAATATAAGAGATTTTTTTATTTCAACTGCAAAGAATAAGAATGATTTCTGCTTCATCTCAATTTCTGCTTCATCTCAAAGGAGAAATGACTGACATCACCTCCATGATTTTTGATCAAATTATTAAATAGTTGTTTTCAGCTTCAAAGTAGCATTTCCTAAACAAATATCACAGTATGCTAAGGTGTAACTGCTGTGAATTTTTACAGATTGTAACGTGTTATAAAAATTATCAAAGCTACAATGTATTTCTTTATTTCCCCTTTGTATACCTACAGCTACCAATTGGTAGGGCCTGTATAGATCACTACAGAAGCCTGAGTCGCCAGTGTGTTTTCTCGCACGAGGAATTGGTCTGTAAGATGGCTGCTGACCCAGACAACCTTGACCTCAAGGTTGCTGCTTGTACCCACCATGATTTGCTAGGAATTGTTGAGAAGGAAAAGCAATTACGCAAGAAGCTGCTAGACCGGGTACGTTCTGTGTTACTTCAATTTTTAGCTCGCCTGGCCTAAAGGGCCAAGTGAGCTTTTGTCTTGGTGCAGCGTCCGTCGTCCGTCTGTCCGGCGCCCGTCATTCAAACAACTTCTTCTGAAATACTGAAAGGCGTAGAGTTATCATAGTTTGCTGAAAGGTTCCTTTGATGAGGCCCAACAAAGTTAGCGAAAAAATAACCTTGACCAATATTCAAGGTCACAGAGGTCAAATGTGTTAAAATCTTTAAACAACTTCTTCCAAAATACTGGAAGGCCTAGAATCATTATATTTGGCTGGAAGGTTTCTTTGATAAAGCCCAACAAAGTTTGCAAAAAGAAATGACATTGACCCATATTCAAGGTCACAGAGGTCAAATGTGTTAAAACCTTTTAACGACTTCTTCCAGAATACCAGAATGCCTAGAATCATTATATATGGCTGGAAGATTCCTTTGATGAAGCCCAACAGAGTTTGCGAAAAGAAATGACCTTGACCAACCTTCATGGTCACAGGGGTCAAATGTGTTAAACCTTTAAATGACATTTTCTGATTATCCAAAACATCTAGGATAGTAATATTATTCTAAGATAGGTTCTCAATGATGCTCGTTAATATTTGAGAACAGAAATTACCTGACCCATATTCAAGGTCACAACAGTCAAATGTGTTAAGCCTTCGAACAACTTTTGATTAACTAAAAGGTCTAGGATCATATTTGGCCAAAAGTTTCCCTTAATGCTTGACCCATAATGATATTTAAGGTCATTGGGGTTAAATTTTGTAAAATAGTTAAACAACTTCTTCTGATTAACCAAAAAGCTATCATATTTGGCCAGTAAAGGCTTCTATACAAATATATAGAACCTTCAAATGATTTATTAAAGGAATATATTTGGCTGGAAATTTTCTTGGCATAATTTGGAATTGGAATTATGAAGACCTTTCACAGTGATGTCACACTGTTCCAAAAAAAGATTAGGCCAAGCCCCATGGAGGTCTGAGAGGATTGAGCTACATGTTAGCCAATTAATTATGAAATTAAATGAGACTTACCTGTAAGTTGAAATTTGATGATAATTCTGTCTTCACTCCAGGAAGTGCATAGGGATCACATGAGATGCGTGCACATCGTAAGCCAATCATTCTTCAAAGATGTGAGTGAACACTTACAGCAACTCAACATTGGAATACCAATACACCAATCAAATATGAAAATTTGTTCCACTAAATGTATGAGAAAACAGCTCAAGAATGAAAAGACATCCCAAAATAGGGAAGGGGTAAAGGGTGGGCATGTTATCAGTATCTGCCTCAGTATTATCACAGCTTGGACAACCATGTTTCTCTCAATAGCCCAGTCCCACATTTTTGCAGCCAACTCATTACATGCTTTAGGCAATAACTGTGGTATTGTCAGTGTTCAACCTGATATGTGCCTGTTGTAAATCCTTGCATAACGTTAGACATGCAAACCCTGCTGCTTTCAGTTCAAGGTAGTTTATATGGTCTAGGGTTTCTTCCTCAGACCATCAACTCCCTGCCTTTACCTTAACATTACCGTAGTTATCAAACAGTGCACCACCCCACCCCTTTTTTGAAGCATCTGAGGTAAGGGTGACTGAAGGGGTACCTGTAGAAATGGGGTTAAAATCTGTATGTATATTTTCCAACCACCTTTTGAGATCTGCTATGCTATGTGAGGATAAAGAAGTACATGCCATATAATCTCCGCGTGAAACCTTTAAGGCTCTAATTTTTATCTTTTTCAAGTGACCTGTAGTGTAATTGCCCAAATTGCACCCCAGGAAAACTGGACACTAATATTCCGATACACTGGGCTATGCTTTGTATTTTATGGTCTCTACCTATTAGTAAAGCTTTACAAACACTGTGAACTTTGTCTTTCTTTCTTTTTGTTGAACACACAGTCGTATTTACTGAGTTTAAGGTAAACCCTAAGTATTCAATTTCCTGTGTTGGTACAAATATTGATTTTTCAGGATGAACTGTAAAACCAGTTAGACTGGATAGATGAACAATGTTAATTACATTCTCTCTACATTCTTGAATGCTATCTCCTACTAGAAGAGAATCATCAATGTATGATGTATTCCTATAACCTAGCATACGTAATGCTGAGAAAAATGGTTTTGTAATTTTTGTAAATATTCTGGGAGCAGAGGAGAGCCCATTAGGTAAAGCTGTGTAGCGATATGTCCGACCCTCAAATTGGAAACTCAACATTTTCTGAAAATCTTTATGTACTGGAATGGAATGATAAGCATCCTTCCAGTCTATAGAGGCCATGTAGCAACCTGGTGTCATGAGATTAAGAGCACTTTGTAATGTATCCGTTTTGAAATGACGGTAAACCACAGTCATTTACTTTCCTCAAGTTTAAGATGAGTCTGAAAGTCCCATCTTTCTTAGGCCGAATAAAGATGTTAGATAAAACATTCTCTGATGATGGTGTTACTTCAACTAAGTCTTGCTTTTCAAGTAATTTGGCTATTTCTTTTTGAATTACATCTTTCTCTGTCTCATGAAATTGATATTGTTTACAGCCATGACTTTCACAGGGTTCCTCAAAAAATTCTATTTTAACTCCCAAAATATTTTCAAGAATAACAAAATCTGATGTCAACTTTTTCCAGTAAGTATGACATTTGCTTACACTATCCGCAGTGAATCCTTTGACATTCCTTATCAATTCTGTTTTTGTATATGTCATAACCATGTTCCATGCACTGTCACTTACCTCAGTTACTGGTGGAAATGTAGCAGTTGCCTGGGTAGGGGCAATATTGGACGGGCTACTCATTTCCGTTCCTGCCCCGCCTTGAAGTTTTTTGGCCTCTTATAATTTGATTTTTGTCCAGGTCCACTCTTGTTCTTTTGGAAACCATGTCCCTGGGAGTATTGGCCTTGGTAGGACTTAGGGCCGCCGTAATTCTGCCGTCCATAATCGCCCCCCTGATGATAGGGATGATTACGGCCACGCCCTTTACCGCTTGGAGGATAGCTGAAGGTACCTCAGTATCCAGAGTGTGAAACACGATAAGCAACTTTGTTGGTTTCATTAACCTCTTTCATAGATTTTGACAAGTCGTCCACAAACAACTGTGTCGTCACTGGGTTATTCGAAGAGCACAAGGACGTGAATTGATTGTTTAAGTCTGGTTTTATGAAGTCTCTCCTCTGCTGGCTTAAATCCTGGGAGGCGCTGCTTATCAACATAAAACTATTGATGTTGGACTTTAATACACTCTTCACAATGTCTTTCGTTTTTTCATCCATCAAAGACTTCCGCAGGGAAGTTCGTTTTTTCATCCGTCAATGACTTCCGCAGGGAAGTTCATGTCTTGAGAGTGATGGCCAGGGGAACTAACCCAATCAAAATTTTCTCCTTTTGGTGTTATGCTTCAGTTTTTTCCAGACCTCAACGTTAGTTTTAGGCGCTTGTAAAAATTACATGTTTGCCGGGCGTGGATGACTATCCATCACTTGTTTAATTTTATCCTCCGGCATCTGTTTTGACAGCATATCTGTCAATAACTGTGCAAGCTTTTGATTTGACAGGTCCGGCCCCGTCGCTGACGATTGCAATAAATCTTGGGCCAATTCCCGCATACGTTCTGGGAGTTCCTGCTCTAGGTCATCATCACATGAGTGCTGTTCAATTGATCTATATCGGACATTTTTTCATTTTGTTTGGATCCATTTTTTGGGGTATTACCCTCACCGTCAGACTTGTCTAACAGATCATCGATTTGTTGACAAACATCCATCGCAGATTCATCGTCCGTCAAATCTAACGAATCAGAAGGCCTGTCAGACACAGTATCATCATATTGAACATCTTCATATCTCTTTCGTTCAGACTCCCGCATATCATGAAAAAATTTCATTTGGTCTTTCATCATCCTCTGCATATTTGTGAAAATATCGGCAAACATGGCAGGGTTAAAGGTGGAGCCCGCCTTGTTGTTAGGGGTCTGTAACACATCACTAGAACCCGCAGATGGGATTTGTTCAGAAATAATATTATCTGACCGAGTTTGAGGCATGGCCACGTTAGGTTGTGAAGGAGACCCCATATCATTGGTCACAGAGTCATTGTCCTTTGACCTACAACTGACCAAAATGGCGCTTGCCGAGCTGGGCCCATCTTTTGTCGCCGAGACGGCGGTCGTCTGAGCTTTAGAATTAACAAAACTATGTGTGTTGGCTTTCTTAGAAGCTTTTTCAGAGGTTTTGGCTCCATAATGTTCAGGATTTCTCCAACAAAATCAAATTCTCTGTAAGGCGTTTTCCTTTTTTCCAAGATGGCGGCCATAGATCACCGCCAAATTTTTGCTCTCACGAGGGGGCCCCTTGAGCAAAAAATTGTCAATAGACCAGCCGAGATGGCCGTAAAAACGACAAAAGTCATAGAAAGTAAAAAATAACAACACCTGTACTCGTGAGAGAATCTTGAGTAAGGCAAAAAAACAATGTAAAAATGCAAAAGAATGAATGTTTTGGTCAGAGTCGAGGAGGGACTGCTGACAACAATTGCTAACAAAGCACACTATGATTGGCTTATGATGTGCACGCATCTCATCGGATCCCGGATGTACCATCCAGGAGTGAATGACAGAATTATATTCTATTCACAGCATTAAAATAAAGAAAACATGATCGGATAGGGAATTGCAAGAGCTTCATTTTGATGTAAGATTCTTCATAATTATAGCATAAATAAATAAGAAATTCTAAGTTGAAGCCATTTCCTATGCAGTGTTTATAGGTCTACAGTAAACTGTTATCAGTAGATCTCCAGTGGGCGGGACTTAACTGACTAATGATATGCATGAAAGGTCTTATTGGTTTTGAGGTAGGATTATGGTTTATAATCACATGTAGTTTAATGTTTCCTGTCTTTACATTTAATTGTTGCTATATATTGTTGACTTGTGCAAGTCTCAAATATGTTGTATCTGTGTTTGTAAACAATGATCTAAAGGGCAAGTAAGCTTCTGCTGTCCTGGATCATCTGTCCAACTATAACTATGAGTTTTTCTGCTATATTGTTTGACCATCTTCTTTCCTTGATTTAAAAGAAAACTATCAATTATATTTAACTGGAAACATCATAAGAAAGTCTCCATTCAACATTGCACAGATGAGGGGGCTGACTACTAGGGGACAGAACCCATATGGAGTAATTTGTCATATTGCTTTAAGCCTCTACTGTGGAACATATGCACAGATATAGTACTGTTGGTCATGAAGATCCAGGTGAGCGATACAGGCCCTCTGGGCCTCTTGTCTTTGTCAGGGACATGAAAATGGGCCTCTTGTCTTTGTCAGGGACATGAAAAAGACTTGTTAAATGAGTACAAATTAGCTATTTCTAAAACAAAATAAACGTTATCTATTTAAAGTTCATTGTACTTAAAAAAAAAAACCCATTAAACTTCCTTTGATGAAACTTATTTACAGGGTACCATGGAGGCTGAACGTGAAGCATTTGAGTTGTTACCTGATGATGAGCGACAGTGCGACACTTGTAAAACAACGTGTTTCCTCTCCGGGGTCACTTGTCCATGTAGTCCTAGTAAGTCCAGCAATATTTCTTTGCTACTTCTTATTAGGCATACTGTTTAATTCTAATTCTGCAGTGTTATTATATATAGATCATATGACTTAAGTTGGTGGATTGTTGAGATTTTATTTCCAGATCATTTACCTGGTTTAAGATGTTGTAGTATTCATTTAAAGAATACAACAAATATGCATTTGTGATTTATTGTGAAAGAGGAAATAAGTGACTTAATACCTAGTGTATCTGCTTCAACATATTTAATAGTGTGGCAATCATCATATTTGTTTTTGTTGACTTACTCTATAAACAGAAATATTGCTACCGATTACAATGTGTACTGATTGTTTTACAGACAAACTGGTATGTATTTACCATGTAGAGATGCTATGTGATTGTGACCCATCACGTCACTGCCTACGCTACAGATACACCCTTGATGAGCTGCCAGCCATGCTCTACAAACTCAAGGTGCGTGCTGAATCCTTTGACAACTGGACCAGCAAAGTAGGCGAAGCATTGGAATCTACAGGCGATGACAGAATGGGTAAGTTTGTACAAAGTGTGGCTGGTAGGGTTATACAACTACAGGAGAAGGATAGTTACTGATAATGGGGGTCACTAATAGATGCCTCCCTGCCTCCTCATACAATCATTCCTGGCTTAGTTCTGGGGATAAGAAACTGCAAAGAAAGGAAATCTGTTGTATATCCTTTGGATAAATAATTTACTTATGCTTAACATTCTGAGAACAAAAAGTATTAGTTGACACTCTTTTAAGACCGTAGAATTGCATAATTTTACTGTTTTCACCATTTCTATTTTCCTTCCTTAACACCAATAATTAGCACTTCTAATTGTTTAAACTACCGCTGTTCAGTTTTACAGATATAGTAGTGTTAAATAATGTCAAAAATTATTATATACAAAGCTTTGTGAAAGATAATTCTGCATTAATACCACTCTACAAAAGCAGAATCAGTACTTGATAATAACTGAGTGACTTCTGTACTCAGAGATACTGGAGCTGAAGGAGCTGATCATGGAGGCAGAGGAGAAGAGATATCCTGATACAGAATTACTACACACACTAATTGATGCAGTCGGTGAAGCAGAGAAATGTGCCAGTGTTGCCAATCAGTTGGTCTCAAAGAAAGTTCGTACCAGGTATGGTATTCTGTACTAATGCTTTGCCATCATATCAAACTAGTTGACTGCTTGGATAGTCAGCTATATACCAGAAGTATTTGAGTTTTTTGATATTCAATCCAGAAAATCATACAAAATCCATTAAAAAAATATCTGTTTTATATGATCAACTTAAGGCAAGAAAGTGGAGCAAGTCCAAACACATTATAATGTTATAATAGTTTTACTTCCAATATCTGTTATTTACCCATTTTGTTTCCTTCATAAAAAGGAACAGACAATCCATGGAAGGGAAGTACATAGCCAAACTCAGTTTAGACGAGCTGAACTGTTTCTATGATCAAGTCTACAACCTGCCGTGTATAATCAAGGAAGCCAGACTGATCAAGGTAAGACTGTAAACCATATAACCAAGTGTTCTAACGGGTAAACCTAAGTGGGCAAGAGTGTAAACCATATTACCAAGTGTTCTATCAGGTAAACCTTAGTAGGCCAGAGTGTAAACCGTATTACCAAGCGTTCTATCCGGTAAACCTTAGTGGGCCAGAGTGTAAACCGTATTACCAAGTGTTTGATCAGGTAAACCTTAGTGGGCCACAGTGTAAACCATATTACCAAGTGTTCGATCAGGTAAACCTTAGTGGGCCACAGTGTAAACCATATTTCCAAACATTCTATCAGGTTAACCTTAGTGGGCCACAGTGTAAACCATATTACCAAGTGTTCTATCAGGTAAACCTTAATGGGCAAGAGTGAAAAATACCATATTTCCAGCCTTTATAAACTGCACCTGAGTATAAGATGCATTGGGTTATAAGCTGCACCTGAGTATAAGATGCATTGGGTTATAAGCTGCACCTGAGTATAAGATGCATTGGGTTATAAGGTGCACCTGAGTATAAGATGCATTGGGTTATAAGGTGCACCTGAGTATAAGATGCATTGGGTTATAAGCTGCACCTTTTCTAACGATATGTTTTTTTCGTTCTACTGTTTTTTTTTTGTTTTTGTTTTTGCCACCCAGACTGCGAGGAAAAAAGCTACGGCTGATAACCTGGAAAAAAAAGTGTGCAACCATTGTTCTATCAGGCAAAGCTCATTGATCAAACGTATACATTATTCCTCTTAAACATTTGTTTTGATTTGCATTGTGCAAGAAAAATTAAGTTTTTAAGTTTTTTTAGGTAGAATTATCAAACTAATGTATTTAAAAGATTCACATGCGTAGGTGACAACCATTAAAATCCTTCTTTGAGTTCCATTACATCATTTACACACAACTGATTTATTACAGTATATAATAGTAGCAAGTCTTGAAGCCTGTCTAAATGAAATCAGTGCTTGGATGAACTCAAATATGCTCAAGCTCAATCAGGAAAAGACAGAACTGATCGTCTTTTCCCACAAGTGTCAACACACTAAATTGCCAGTTCCTGTTATCACCAAATCAGAAACATTGGGGGTATCCATCAGTTCATCACCACAGATGCATGCAAGACACTGGTACATTCTCTTGTTACTTCTAGTTTAGACTATGGTAACGCGTTACTCGTTGGTGTATCTGATACACTTATGAGCCGCCTGCAGAGGGTACAGAACACCGCAGCACGCCTAGTTACCCGTACTCGAAAGAGGGACCACATTACACCAGTCCTTTACTTATTGCATTGGCTGCCCGTGCGATTCCGGTCACAGTACAAGATTTTGATGTATACATACAAGGCAATAAATGGAACAGCTCCTGAATATTTGCAGGAACTTGTCACCGTTTATCGGCCGTCACGATCACTACGATCGGAGACAGAATCCTTGTTGTGCGTTCCGAACTCTCGGACTGAGACTTATGGTAACCGGTGCTTTGGAAAGGTAGTGGCCACTTTGTGGAACAGCTTACCATCTGCTACTAGAAAGTCCAAATCCCTGGCCAAATTCAAGAGGGATATTAAAACCCACCTGTTTACGTCTGCATTTTAGACTCTCACGCAGACGTCCTGTATATACATACTTTCACCACTACTTACTTGATTTGGTTACTGTGTTACATATGTTGATTACTGTGTTATACATGTTCTATAAATTTTGTAGTAAGATTATTATGTAATTGTGAAGCGCATTAGAGTATTTTGTCAAAATAGATAGTGCGCTATATAAATGTTGTATATTATTTATTATTATTACAGGAACTGCTGGACAAAGTCATTGAGTTCCAAAGAGATGCCCAAGATGCATTAGAGGCAGACACTCCTGATTCAGAAAAAATAGAGCAACTGATTGACTTCAGCATTACACTGGATGTAGATTTACCTGAGATACCTAGACTCAAACAGGTAGGTGTTGAATTGGGAATGAAAGTTCACTTTGTTAATGGTCTTGATTTAAAAGAATGCATATGTAGATATTTTGAATTATTCATTACTTGGAAATTCATGCTGTATCAGTTGAAATGTTGGAATTTTGGTGTGTTTTGTACTTAAATTGGTGAAAATAATATTGAATATATATATATATTTTTTCAGATACAGAAAAATTTTACTTTAAGAGCTTATCAAGTCTTTTCTGTAATATAAAACATATAAACATAATTTATCAGTCTGAATTATGTGTTTTTGTAAACAGCTGGTTCAGATCTCCAGGTTCTATAAAGCTTCTGAAAAATTGATCATATTTTAACTAATTATTGTGGTGCTTCATAGGGCAGTGCAGAGGTGGGAGGTTTGAGTGGGGTGGGGTTAAGTTTTGGAAATATTTGGTGTGGATGTCTTTTATACAGTCTAGGTATCTATGAGTTAAACACAACATTAAGAATTGTTATGTTGCTTTCAGTTATGAAAAAGATGTTTAGGTACTTTATTTATAACTGACAGATCATAAAACCATCCTTACATTATTGAATTTCATTTAATATATAGAATGCTTGAAAGGCTTCAATTCTGCTACTCAATAGCTTTTACCATTTCACAATTACATTTGTGGTATGGAACTGAATGGTAGCAACATAGAATCCATCAGAATCAAGCTATGAAATGATAACACTTCATTTGATGGTTCAAACTGTATGGTATAGAAAGATAACTAGAGGACAAGGAAATGTTGTCTTAGTTCACTTAATCTATTTTTATTATCATATTTTTGTAAGAATTTCTACATTATATGTAGGAAATCTACCTAAAGTGTACAAAATATTTGTAAATTGTTTTGACCACCAGGTTCTACAACAAGCTAAGTGGCTGGATGAGGTGCGTCTCACGCTACGTGATCCTCTCAATGTGACCCTGGATGTGATGAGGGAACTGATGGAATCAGGTGTGGGCCTAGCTCCACACCCAGCGGTAGAGAAAGCCATGGCTGAGCTTCAGGAACTTCTTACCATTAGTGAGCGATGGGAAGAGAAAGCTAGGATCTGCCTCCAAGCCAGGTATTTAACCTTTTCTTTAACTCATTGTTAAAAGTACTATTTAAAGCAGGTTTGGGTTTGTTATTTATCTTGTCATTGTACTGTACTGAATAGTGGTGCTCCTTGGGGAAGAGTAATTAAACTCTGGGGAGTAAATCTACAAAATAGTGAGTATGAGTGAATCACAGATAATGGTAGTCATTTTATTGGTACAATTTATAAACATCAAAAAATGTAAAGTTTGGTTCTCAGCGGTATGAAAGTGGTTCAGAAAATATTTCATTATGTAACTTAGATATTTCACTAAACTTGCATTAAGTGTTTGATGTATAAAATAATTAAAAGACTTCAGTTCTGCCACTCAATAGCTTTTACCATTTCACAATTACATTTGTGGTATGGAACTGAATGGTAGCAACATAGAATCCATCAGAATCAAGCTATGAAATGATATGACTTCATTTGATGGTTCAAACTGTATGGTACAGAAGGTCATCTACTTAACCAGAGTAATCATAGTACACCAAGTTCATATTCTATCAGTATTCTGCTATTTATCCTTTGCAGGCCTAGACATGTGATGGCCACTTTGGAAGCTATCATTAACGAAGCTAAAGGTATTCCCGCCTACTTGCCAAATGTCACAGCTCTGAAGGATGCTTTAAGGAAAGCAAAGGACTGGACAGTGAAGGTGGAGAATGTACAGGTAAACTTTGGCATATGAATACTTGTCTTAAAATTTTAAAATACAATTGATTTCTTTGTATTGTGAATTAAAGAGAAACAGCAGATATTTTCAAATTAAAAAAGAATAATTTTTTTGCCAGAATTCTGACTCGTACCCCTACCTAGACATCCTGGAAAGTTTGGTGAACAAAGGCCGGCCCATTCCAGTTCGTCTGGACCAGCTGCCTCAGGTGGAGTCTCAGGTAGCTGCGGCTAAGTCCTGGAGAGAAAGAACTGCTAGAACATTCCTCAAGAAGAACTGTACTTACTCTCTCTTGGAGGTATGTATTATTGATAGAATATATTTTTTCTCCATTTTGATGAACTTTTCTTGAAATCATTTAAAGTACCGCATTCTCCTTGTTTTATCTGAATACCTAATTCTGTTTGATCATATTGTAAAGAAAAAAAATTGAAATCCTCAACATGAATGCAATTCAGGTGCTGTCTCCTCGAGCTGACATTGGCATCTACAGTGGAGGTAAAAACAAAAAGAAAAAATTTAAGGAAGGTGAAAAGGACAGGAAGGATGTTGAAACCAATAATAACAACCTGGACATCAAGGTCGAGGATCAGAGAGACCCAGCAGCCATTGTAAGTAGAAACGTTTGTGTGACAATGTAGCTAGCCATGTAAATGATTCAGTATTTTGACTTTATACAGACACTGCAGATAAATTTCACAGGTTTGGCTACCCAAAAGGTTTTGTCATTTCACTTATCTCTATTTGTGATATGGAACTGAATGGTAGCAACAGAGAAATCCACCAGATTCAAGTCATGGAATAGATTCAGATCTCTTCATGGTTAAAACTGCATGGTAGAGAAGCAGATACAGTTTGTATATTGTAAAACATTATGAAGAAAAGAAGTGTTGAAAATGCACCTAAAATGTATATTACCTTCAGATTCAGTGGTTTTTGCTAAAATCTGACATAGGAATTTAAGTCTTGATTGATTTGGAGGTAAGGAAAATTTAGGAAGGAGGGGATTGTTTAGGACAGTTTAGTTCAGATAACCTATCATTATCTCACTTTGGGGTGAAATCTGATTTTATACTTGTGATGTTGAAATGTCTGTCTTGCTTAATCAGTTCAGATTCATTGATTTCTTGCCAACAAACCAAAAATGTTCTGTAATAAGTATTTTCCTTAATTATGGGTTTAATTGTTTTCAGGTTGCAGCATTCAAAGTGGCAGAACAGAAGGAGGTGGACTGTATGTGTGAACTTAGGGAAAGGAATGTGAACAAGATCAGTCAAGAGGGAGATGAAGTCAAGTACTGTGTATGTCGGAAAGGAGCTTCAGGCTTTATGTTACAGTGTGAACTCTGCAAGGACTGGTTTCATGGTAAGTCATTATAGCATGTCATGTCGTGGAAGGCATATAGTATTACCCAAGTCTGTCCTGTTCCATTCCTAATTTTTATACGCCCGTCGAAAGACTATTTTTATTTCACTATAGCAATCTTGTCCGGAGATCTCCTCCAACATTTTTCAACCCATCTTTATGAAACTTGGTAGGCTTAATCACCATGATATGAAATTGTGTTTTCCTGAACTGGGTTTTGATTAGACAATTTGAACAAGAGTTATGCCCCTTTGTTTATTTCACTATAGAAATCTTGTTCGGATATCTCCTCCTACATTTTTCAGCTGATCTTTATGAAAGTTTGTATGCTTAATCACCATGATATGAAATATAAAAATGTTGTCTGAATATTTCCTCTAGCCTATGTTCCATGCAAAACATTTGTTTTTGATATTCACGGGCATATTTTGTTCCGCTTTGCAGTACTCTTGTTGTGTTTTATCATCAGAGCCTGTCAACAGATTTGGTTCATATTTACAGAATAATGAAATCATCAATCTCTACAATTTCATATATTATGGTCATCATCAGTCAAGGTTATAAGATCAAAGGTCATACTTTACATCAATAACAGAAAATGGTACTTCAGTGTATGATCGTAAGAATTGGTTTCATATTTTATAGACATTTTCTAGATACGTCTCTACTAAGATTGCACTAATAATCTTCAGATCACTACTTAGGTAATGAGCTCTGACAAGCAATCTTTATTCTTTTGATCACTAGATCCAGATATGAAAGGACCATTTCTATTAAAGTATTGTTCACTTGTACAGAGATTACATCATGTATTCTGCAAAGATTGTTTCTGTCCTAGGTGATAAATTTAAAGGTTTGTTTCTTCATTACAACAATTTCCAAAAGTATTTTCATTATCAATCAGAATAAGTGATTAATGCTAGGCTTTTCATTTACAGGAACATGTGTACCACTTCCAAAATCTGCAAATATGAAAAATAAATCGTCTCAAGCAGCAGCTGTACAGGCTGCTAAAGATCTCAAGTTTTTATGTCCCCAGTGTTTACGGTCTCGACGTCCTCGACTAGAGACCATTCTTTCTCTTCTTGTTTCCCTCCAAAAACTTCCTGTGCGCTTGCCAGAGGGGGAGGCCCTTCAGTGTTTAACAGAACGTGCCATGGCGTGGCAGGATCGTGCACGCCAAGCTCTAACCACAAGTGAACTTGCCTCAGCTTTAGCCAAACTCAGTGTGTTGAGTCAGAGAATGGTGGAGCAGGCAGCACGGGAAAAAACTGAGAAAATCATAAATGCTGAACTGCTTAAAGCTGCAAATAATCCAGAGTTACAAGGACATTTAGCCAGTGTAACTCAAAGTGCTTTTGGGGGGAATGCAGGAGGTGGCACTGCTACTACACCTTTGACGGGGAAACATTCAGATTCTGGAAACTTTAGTTTGGATTCAGAAAACTCATTTACGATTCCATTGTCACCTCAGTCATCACACAACTCAGATGACATTCAGATGGAAGTGGAAGTGATCAGCTCAGCACAACAGCAACAAAACCATAGTGGCATGTCAGAGCATGCTTATTCTTCTGCCTCCAAAACCAGTAATAGTAAGTACAAATACAACAAAACCACAGTGGCATGTCAGAACATGCCTAGTCTACTGCCTCTAAAACCAGTAATAGTAAGTACAAATACAACAAAACCACAGTGGCATGTCAGAACATGCCTAGTCTACTGCCTCTAAAACCAGTAATAGTAAGTACAACAAAACCACAGTGACATATCAGAACATGCCTAGTCTACTGCCTCTAAAACCAGTAATAGTAAGTACAAATACAACAAAACCACAGTGACATATCAGAACATGCCTAGTCTACTGCCTCTAAAACCAGTAATAGTAAGTACAAATACAACAAAACCACAGTGGCATGTCAGAACATGCCTAGTCTACTGCCTCTAAAACCAGTGACAGTAAATACAACAAAACCACAGTGACATGTCAGAACATGCCTAGTCTACTGCCTCTAAAACCAGTGACAGTAAATACAACAAAACCACAGTGGCATGTCAGAACATGCCTAGTCTACTGCCTCTAAAACCAGTAATAGTAAGTACAAATACAACAAAACCACAGTGGCATGTCAGAACATACCTAGTCTACTGCCTCTAAAACCAGTAATAGTAAGTACAAATACAACAAAACCACAGTGACATGTCAGAACATGCCTAGTCTACTGCCTCTAAAACCAGTAATAGTAAGTACAAATACAACAAAACCACAGTGGCATGTCAGAACATGCCTAGTCTACTGCCTCTAAAACCAGTGACAGTAAATACAACAAAACCACAGTGGCATGTCAGAACATGCCTAGTCTACTGCCTCTAAAACCAGTAATAGTAAATACAACAAAACCACAGTGACATGTCAGAACATGCCTAGTCTACTGCCTCTAAAACCAGTAATAGTAAGTACAAATACAACAAAACCACAGTGACATGTCAGAACATGCCTAGTCTACTGCCTCTAAAACCAGTAATAGTAAGTACAAATACAACAAAACCACAGTGGCATGTCAGAACATGCCTAGTCTACTGCCTCTAAAACCAGTAATAGTAAGTACAAATACAACAAAACCACAGTGACATATCAGAACATGCCTAGTCTACTGCCTCTAAAACCAGTAATAGTAAGTACAAATACAACAAAACCACAGTGGCATGTCAGAACATGCCTAGTCTACTGCCTCTAAAACCAGTAATAGTAAATACAACAAAACCACAGTGACATGTCAGAACATGCCTAGTCTACTGCCTCTAAAACCAGTAATAGTAAACAAATACAACAAAACCACAGTGACATGTCAGAACATGCCTAGTCTACTGCCTCTAAAACCAGTAATAGTAAATACAACAAAACCACAGTGACATGTCAGAACATGCCTAGTCTACTGCCTCTAAAACCAGTAATAGTAAATACAACAAAACCACAGTGGCATGTCAGAACATGCCTAGTCTACTGCCTCTAAAACCAGTAATAGTAAATACAACAAAACCACAGTGACATGTCAGAACATGCCTAGTCTACTGCCTCTAAAACCAGTAATAGTAAATACAACAAAACCACAGTGACATGTCAGAACATGCCTAGTCTACTGCCTCTAAAACCAGTAATAGTAAATACAACAAAACCACAGTGACATATCAGAACATGCCTAGTCTACTGCCTCTAAAACCAGTAATAGTAAATACAACAAAACCACAGTGACATGTCAGAACATGCCTAGTCTACTGCCTCTAAAACCAGTAATAGTAAATACAACAAAACCACAGTGACATGTCAGAACATGCCTAGTCTACTGCCTCTAAAACCAGTAATAGTAAATACAACAAAACCACAGTGACATATCAGAACATGCCTAGTCTACTGCCTCTAAAACCAGTAATAGTAAATACAACAAAACCACAGTGACATATCAGAACATGCCTAGTCTACTGCCTCTAAAACCAGTAATAGTAAATACAACAAAACCACAGTGACATGTCAGAACATGCCTAGTCTACTGCCTCTAAAACCAGTAATAGTAAATACAACAAAACCACAGTGACATGTCAGAACATGCCTAGTCTACTGCCTCTAAAACCAGTAATAGTAAATACAACAAAACCACAGTGACATGTCAGAACATGCCTAGTCTACTGCCTCTAAAACCAGTAATAGTAAATACAACAAAACCACAGTGACATGTCAGAACATGCCTAGTCTACTGCCTCTAAAACCAGTAATAGTAAGTACAAATACAACAAAACCACAGTGACATGTCAGAACATGCCTAGTCTACTGCCTCTAAAACCAGTAATAGTAAATACAACAAAACCACAGTGACATGTCAGAACATGCCTAGTCTACTGCCTCTAAAACCAGTAATAGTAAATACAACAAAACCACAGTGACATGTCAGAACATGCCTAGTCTACTGCCTCTAAAACCAGTGATAGTAAATACAACAAAACCACAGTGACATGTCAGAACATGCCTAGTCTACTGCCTCTAAAACCAGTAATAGTAAATACAACAAAACCACAGTGACATGTCAGAACATGCCTAGTCTACTGCCTCTAAAACCAGTAATAGTAAGTACAAATACAACAAAACCACAGTGACATGTCAGAACATGCCTAGTCTACTGCCTCTAAAACCAGTAATAGTAAATACAACAAAACCACAGTGACATGTCAGAACATGCCTAGTCTACTGCCTCTAAAACCAGTAATAGTAAGTACAAATACAACAAAACCACAGTGACATGTCAGAACATGCCTAGTCTACTGCCTCTAAAACCAGTAATAGTAAATACAACAAAACCACAGTGACATGTCAGAACATGCCTAGTCTACTGCCTCTAAAACCAGTAATAGTAAATACAACAAAACCACAGTGACATGTCAGAACATGCCTAGTCTACTGCCTCTAAAACCAGTAATAGTAAATACAACAAAACCACAGTGACATGTCAGAACATGCCTAGTCTACTGCCTCTAAAACCAGTAATAGTAAATACAACAAAACCACAGTGACATGTCAGAACATGCCTAGTCTACTGCCTCTAAAACCAGTAATAGTAAATACAACAAAACCACAGTGACATGTCAGAACATGCCTAGTCTACTGCCTCTAAAACCAGTAATAGTAAATACAACAAAACCACAGTGACATGTCAGAACATGCCTAGTCTACTGCCTCTAAAACCAGTAATAGTAAATACAACAAAACCACAGTGACATGTCAGAACATGCCTAGTCTACTGCCTCTAAAACCAGTAATAGTAAGTACAAATACAACAAAACCACAGTGGCATGTCAGAACATGCCTAGTCTACTGCCTCTAAAACCAGTAATAGTAAATACAACAAAACCACAGTGACATGTCAGAACATGCCTAGTCTACTGCCTCTAAAACCAGTGACAGTAAATACAACAAAACCACAGTGGCATGTCAGAACATGCCTAGTCTACTGCCTCTAAAACCAGTAATAGTAAATACAACAAAACCACAGTGACATGTCAGAACATGCCTAGTCTACTGCCTCTAAAACCAGTGATAGTAAATACAACAAAACCACAGTGACATGTCAGAACATACAACAAAACCACAGTGACATGTCAGAACATGCCTAGTCTACTGCCTCTAAAACCAGTAATAGTAAATACAACAAAACCACAGTGACATGTCAGAACATGCCTAGTCTACTGCCTCTAAAACCAGTAATAGTAAGTACAAATACAACAAAACCACAGTGACATGTCAGAACATGCCTAGTCTACTGCCTCTAAAACCAGTAATAGTAAGTACAAATACAACAAAACCACAGTGACATGTCAGAACATGCCTAGTCTACTGCATCTAAAACCAGTATTAGTAGTACAAATACAACAAAACCACAGTGACATATCAGAACATGCCTAGTCTACTGCCTCTAAAACCAGTAATAGTAAATACAACAAAACCACAGTACAATACAACAAAACCACAGTGACATGTCAGAACATGCCTAGTCTACTGCCTCTAAAACCAGTAATAGTAAATACAACAAAACCACAGTGACATGTCAGAACATGCCTAGTCTACTGCCTCTAAAACCAGTAATAGTAAGTACAAATACAACAAAACCACAGTGACATGTCAGAACATGCCTAGTCTACTGCCTCTAAAACCAGTACAACAAAACCACAGTGACATGTCAGAACATGCCTAGTCTACTGCCTCTAAAACCAGTGATAGTAGTAAATACAACAAAACCACAGTGACATGTCAGAACATGCCTAGTCTACTGCCTCTAAAACCAGTGATAGTAAATACAACAAAACCACAGTGACATGTCAGAACATGCCTAGTCTACTGCCTCTAAAACCAGTAATAGTAAATACAACAAAACCACAGTGACATGTCAGAACATGCCTAGTCTACTGCCTCTAAAACCAGTAATAGTAAGTACAAATACAACAAAACCACAGTGACATGTCAGAACATGCCTAGTCTACTGCCTCTAAAACCAGTAATAGTAAGTACAAATACAACAAAACCACAGTGACATGTCAGAACATGCCTAGTCTACTGCCTCTAAAACCAGTAATAGTAAGTACAAATACAACAAAACCACAGTGACATGTCAGAACATGCCTAGTCTACTGCCTCTAAAACCAGTAATAGTAAGTACAAATACAACAAAACCACAGTGACATGTCAGAACATGCCTAGTCTACTGCCTCTAAAACCAGTAATAGTAAGTACAAATACAACAAAACCACAGTGACATGTCAGAACATGCCTAGTCTACTGCCTCTAAAACCAGTAATAGTAAGTACAAATACAACAAAACCACAGTGGCATGTCAGAACATGCCTAGTCTACTGCCTCTAAAACCAGTGACAGTAAATACAACAAAACCACAGTGACATATCAGAACATGCCTAGTCTACTGCCTCTAAAACCAGTAATAGTAAATACAACAAAACCACAGTGACATGTCAGAACATGCCTAGTCTACTGCCTCTAAAACCAGTAATAGTAAATACAACAAAACCACAGTGACATGTCAGAACATGCCTAGTCTACTGCCTCTACTGCAATTACCTTCAAAATCAGTTATACGAAGTAGTTAGTACAATACATTCTGCCTCTAAAACCATTGACAACAAGTACTATTCTGTAGTCAACACTGCTATGATAAAAGATTACTAATTTAATCTCGATTACAAGTGTTTACTGAAATAATACTTTACTTTATATTGCTATTTGTAACCAGTTAGTTCACCTACAAATAGACAATAGCTGCCAGAGGTGTCTCTGGGGTTTTTTTTTTTCCTGATAATGGTATTTAATACTTTATATACTTACCAGAGTGCCTTGGTCATGTTTATCAATAGTTTAAGAACATCACTTTGACAATAAAAGTCATTTACAGGGATGGGACAAAGTTGAAAAACAGTTGAAACTTGTCTCAAAATCACTGGAGTCAAAATTTTGCTAGAGTTGTAATAATTGCCAAGTCCTAATTTTTTCTCATTTATATCTTTGTAATATTAGTTCAGATAATTCAAATTTCATTGAGTCGAAATTTCGGTTGACTTGAAGGGATTTTTCAGTCCCGTCAGTTGTAAAATAAAGGAAAAAGTCATTTATTGTCAGGAAATTAATTTTTTGTCAAAAATCGGCACATCTTCTGAAGAAATCAGTCAATACGTACACTGATTAGAAAGTCACCTGTGCATAACACATAGCTAATTACGGCTTATCAGTCCATTGTACTCACAACACTTGGTCTGTGGCGGTTAATTACCTTTTTAATGATCCAATTAAGGGTTTGCTTCTTAATAAGTGTCACCATCCTGTAGCAGTGACTTACCTGTATGTTAAAAAACGATAAAAATGAAACTGTCAAACCAGTAAGAACGTAATGCTGAAATCAGATCCTCATAATTCCGAGAGAAACTTATTTTGAACTTGTTTACTAAATGACTGTGATGGGCCACTTTGTTAGATTTAATTTTTGGACAATGAATTGCTGAAAGTATTTTACATTGATAGAATCTATATCTGGGCGTCTTGTGCTTGTACAATGTTTTCTGTAACAGGTAAAACCTTTCTAGTGCTGCGTTCTTCATATGTTTATTTATTGATAATAATATCATATTGATATGATCTGTAGCTTCATTCATCGCTTCTTGTAGCATATCAAAAGCAAATTTTTATTTCATTTGGATGAATAAGTAATAAAAGGAGAAAGTAGAAATAAATTTGTTAATTAACTGCCATGTACATAACAGATTAAACTATGCTCTGTGTGTGCTGTCATAGTCCTACTTTGTTAAACCGTAATTAATGTCAGGAAACTGAAATCATCAACCTTATCCATACGCTTTGAGTCAAAATTCAGAGAGGTCAAAATCATTTCCATGGTCCCTTGAATTTTGAGATAATGAGTTTTTACTGTACTAATTATATACGTACAGCGATGGAGGAAAATTCAAAATTGAAAAACTAGGGAGCCTATTTTCATTGATAGAAATCATTTATATGTTATTGTTAACTTCTTCAGATTCAGTATGTAAGAAAATCTTCATTTTGTATCACAAAAGATAAAAAACACTAACCTGATGTGTTTTGCAGGTGCATCACCACGTAAACACCAACGGAAGTCACCACTGGTGGCACGGACTCTTGAAGCCCCTGTCCTTGAACTTTCAAGCACAGCGAAAAGTCAGCTAGAGGAACTGATGATGGAGGGAGACCTTCTAGAAGTGTCTTTGGATGAGACACAACACATCTGGAGGATTTTACAGGCCTGTCAGCCAAGAGCAGACCATAAGTTCCTCGAACTTGATGACAATAAGGTATACTTAATTACTGAGCTTATAGACATAAGTCACCTGATGACAATAAGGTATGCTTAATTACTGAGCTTATAGACATAAGTCACCTGATGACAATAAGGTATGCTTAATTACTGAGCTTATAGACATAAGTCACCTGATGACAATAAGGTATGCTTAATTACTGATCTTATAGGCATAAGTCACCTGATGGCAATAAGGTATGCTTAATTACTAACCTATAGACTTAGACCTGATGACAATAAGGTATGCTTGACAATATGGTATGCTTAATTACTAACTTATAGACAGTATCACCTGATGAGTCATAGACCTGATGACAATAAGGTATGCTTAATTACTGATCTTATAGACATAAGTCACCTGATGACAATAAGGTATGCTTAATTACTGATCTTATAGACATAAGTCACCTGAATAAGGTATGCTTAATTACTGTCACCTGATGACAATAACTTATAGACAGTAGTCACCTGATGACAATAAGGTATGCTTAATACTGAACTTATAGGCATAAGTCACCTGATGGCAATAAGGTTAATTACTAACCTACTTAGTCACCTGATGACAATAAGGTATGTCACCTGATGACAATAAGGTATGCTTAATTACTGATCTTATAGGCATAAGTCACCTGATGACAATAAGGTATGCTTAATTACTAACTTATAGACTTCACCTATGACAATAAGACAATACTGATCTTATAGGCATAAGTCACCTGATGTCACCTGATGACAATAAGGTATGCTTAATTACTGATCTTATAGACATAAGTCACCTGATGACAATAAGGAAAGCTTAATTACAGATCTAATAGACATAAGTCACCTGATGACAATAAGGTATGCTTAATTACTGATCTTATAGACATAAGTCACCTGATGACAATAAGGTATGCTTAATTACTGATCTTATAGACATAAGTCACCTGATGACAATAAGGTATGCTTAATTACTATGAATTACTTATAGGCATAAGTCACCTGATGGCAATAAGGTATGCTTAATTACTAACCTATAGACTTAGTCACCTGATGACAATAAGGTATGCTTAATTACTGATCTTATAGACATAAGTCACCTGATGACAATATGGTATGCTTAATTACTAACTTATAGACAGTAGTCACCTGATGACAATAAGGTATGCTTAATTACTGATCTTATAGACATAAGTCACCTGATGACAATAAGGTATGCTTAATTACTGATCTTATAGACATAAGTCACCTGATGACAATAAGGTATGCTTAATTACTGATCTTATAGACATAAGTCACCTGATGACAATAAGGTATGCTTAATTACTGATCTTATAGGCATAAGTCACCTGATGACAATAAGGTATGCTTAATTACTGAGCTTATAGACATAAGTCACCTGATGACAATAAGGTATGCTTAATTACTAACTTATAGACAGTAGTCACCTGATGACAATAAGGTATGCTTAATACTGATCTTATAGGCATAAGTCACCTGATGGCAATAAGGTATGCTTAATTACTAACCTATAGACTTAGTCACCTGATGACAATAAGGTATGCTTAATTACTAACTTATAGACAGTCACCTGATGACAATATGGTATGCTTAATTACTGATCTTATAGGCATAAGTCACCTGATGACAATAAGGTATGCTTAATTACTAACTTATAGACATAAGTCACCTGATGACAATAAGGTATGCTTAATACTGATCTTATAGGCATAAGTCACCTGATGGCAATAAGGTATGCTTAATTACTAACCTATAGACTTAGTCACCTGATGACAATAAGGTATGCTTAATTACTGATCTTATAGACATAAGTCACCTGATGACAATATGGTATGCTTAATTACTAACTTATAGACAGTAGTCACCTGATGACAATAAGGTATGCTTAATTACTGATCTTATAGACATAAGTCACCTGATGACAATAAGGTATGCTTAATTACTGATCTTATAGACATAAGTCACCTGATGACAATAAGGTATGCTTAATTACTGATCTTATAGACATAAGTCACCTGATGACAATAAGGTATGCTTAATTACTGATCTTATAGGCATAAGTCACTTGATGACAATAAGGTATGCTTAATTACTTAGCTTATAGACATAAGTCACCTGATGACAATAAGGTATGCTTAATTACTAACTTATAGACAGTAGTCACCTGATGACAATAAGGTATGCTTAATACTGATCTTATAGGCATAAGTCACCTGATGGCAATAAGGTATGCTTAATTACTAACCTATAGACTTAGTCACCTGATGACAATAAGGTATGCTTAATTACTAACTTATAGACAGTCACCTGATGACAATATGGTATGCTTAATTACTGATCTTATAGGCATAAGTCACCTGATGACAATAAGGTATGCTTAATTACTAACTTATAGACATAAGTCACCTGATGACAATAAGGTATGCTTAATACTGATCTTATAGGCATAAGTCACCTGATGGCAATAAGGTATGCTTAATTACTAACCTATAGACTTAGTCACCTGATGACAATAAGGTATGCTTAATTACTGATCTTATAGACATAAGTCACCTGATGACAATATGGTATGCTTAATTACTAACTTATAGACAGTAGTCACCTGATGACAATAAGGTATGCTTAATTACTGATCTTATAGACATAAGTCACCTGATGACAATAAGGTATGCTTAATTACTGATCTTATAGGCATAAGTCACCTGATGACAATAAGGTATGCTTAATTACTGATCTTATAGACATAAGTCACCTGATGACAATAAGGTATGCTTAATTACTGATCTTATAGGCATAAGTCACCTGATGACAATAAGGTATGCTTAATTACTGATCTTATAGACAGTAGTCACCTGATGACAATAAGGTATGCTTAATTACTGATCTTATAGACATAAGTCACCTGATGACAATAAGGTATGCTTAATTACTGATCTTATAGACATAAGTCACCTGATGACAATAAGGTATGCTTAATTACTGATCTTATAGACAGTAGTCACCTGATGACAATAAGGTATGCTTAATTACTGATCTTATAGACATAAGTCACCTGATGACAATAAGGTATGCTTAATTACTGATCTTATAGACATAAATCACCTGATGACAATAAGTCGCCTAAGTCAAACCGTTTTCTTTTGGTCCCACCAACTTGAACATAAGTTGTTTGGAAAATAATCATGATTATAATCATTTAATAATATTATAGCCATTCAAACACATTTGTAAACCTTTGATATTTATTGTTTCAGGATAGCATCTCAAGTATTCCCATCAGCACTGAGAGGGAGAAACTTCAGATCAAGATAAAGAAGGAAAAAGACCCTGAGAAGAAAAAGAAGAAAAGGAAAAAGTTAGAAGATGGGATGGAGGTAAAGATTAAGAAGAGTAAAGAGGTAAAGGAGGTTGCAGAAGCAGGTGCTGGAGAAGCAGGAGGAGGTGGAGGGATCCCTATGATCAAAGTCAAGAAAATAAAGATAAAGAAGGAAAAAGACCCCATCAAGGAAAAGAAAGTAGCCAAGGACCTGGACAATATGGAAATAGGTAAATGGGTTCTCTCCAATTGTTTGCAGGAATTTTAGAATATATTTCATGAAAATGTTATCTATCTTCTATTGTATATTAGTATATATTATTGTTTAAATGTGGCAACTCAATTAATTTTGCATATTGACTGTCAAGATTGAACAAATCAAAATTTCATGAAAATACTTGTACTAAAGTATGATATTATTGTCCATCTCATTTAGCTGCCAGCATGGACATATCAACTATAGCTTCAGAAGCTGAGAAGATTAAGAAAGCTGGAGAAAAAGCTGATAGATTGAAAAAGTTGGGAGAGGAGAAACTGAAAAAGAAAAAAACTAAAGTGGTGAAGAAAGAAGGAGTGGTGGTGGTAGAGGAACTCATCAAAAAGAAGAAGATGAAACCAAAAGTAAAACGGGAGAGGAAAGAAAAGGAAAGCCTGGTGGTGCAAGATGATGATAAGGAAGATGAGAATGATGATGACTGTGCAGCATCAAAATGCCTAAAACCTACAGGTATGTTATCCTCCAATGCACAGGTATGTTCTCACTCCAGCAGGTACAATATCTTATGTGAAGTGTATATTGGTACATCATTAAGTCATTGTGCACTACTAACATTAATAGGCAAGGAGTGTATTATCAAGCCAGTAAATCTATTTTCCTTGAAACTTTGGTGAAATTCTGAAAAGAATTATGCCCCTGGTTTAGGTAGTGACAGTATTGGGTGACAAGAGATGGAGGGTACATTGTACATACAAGGATAGATAATATTCTGGGGAAGTCTCAAATTAGCTAAGTTAAACCTCTTTCAGTTAATTAACTTTATACTGTATACAGATTACCATTGAAAATTTTTTTTATTTTCCTTTACAGGTGAGGAGGTCAACTGGGTACAATGTGATCGCTGCGAGGACTGGTACCATTTACTTTGTGTAGGCTTGGGACAGGAAGAGATCTCTGAGGATGAGGAGTATAAGTGTTTCAAGTGTAGGAACGAGCAGTGCTCGGACCCCTATGTTTCCCCTGTCATATCCGACCCCCGCATGCCACATAGTATGGACTCCCAAGTTCCTGACAACCAAGTGCCAGTCATTAAGTCAGAACCACAGGACCTGACATGTCATGAGTCAATGGACTTGACGATGGACGTGCCGTCAGAGGCAGATGAGTACACATCTGTAGTTGAGGAATCTGTCATGACGTGTCTGGATGTTTCCACAGAGAACACAAACAACAGCAGTGAAGAAGTTCCCAACAAGAAACAGGCTACTGCTGTGCTTGGTGAAAACTGCCAAGTTATGACAAAGGTCATGGCACTTCCCTCTGATGCTATGGACATTGAAGAGGACAGGTTCTCAGAATCCACAACAACAAAGTTTGGGTTAGGGAACTGTATTGAAGAGACTGTGATAGAGGAAGAATCCATTGTGGACAAAAGTGTTGTGAATGACCCATCAGTTAATGACTGTAGTGTGGAGGTCACTTCTCGGAATTCAAATAAGGACACACCTCTCCTTGACAGTGGACAGATAGACACATTGATTGAGTCTGTGTCCTGATTTAGTTGTGTGTCAGATCCTTTTATTTTTGTCCAATCATCAGTCTGATGTCCTGATGTGCTCAGTGCTTACAGTCATTTTCTTGGGACTTGTGGTCAAGAGAGAGATAGGCAGGCTTTCTTGTCATAATGTGCTAAACATAATTGAGAACTCAACCCTGAGTTGAACAGAAATCTCAGACTTTCAATCAAATTTAAACTCTCGATGAGTTTTTACCACCAGTATAGCTAATATAGGCACATGATGAAATCAGGCTTACACTGAAAATAAACCAGAAATCACTTCTTGTGAATTCCTAGTCCTAGAATTATTGTGAGAGTTCAAGCTTTTGTTTTGTTCATGTGTATTGATGAAATTGTGTAAGAGGAGAATCATACATATTGAGTGAGAGTGGAACAAACAAGGCAATACTTGTGTACAGTTATTGAATGTTGTTTCTTTGTAATACATATTTCTTCACATACCTCATTGAATTCAATATTCTGTATACCATGTTACACTACAGCATTGGGAGTTTGAATCTGTATTCTATATTGTAAAAGAGCATTTTTATATGCCAGTTTTTTTTTTATTTCATAGCTTTTTTTCATTGAAAAATTAATTTCATAGATTCTTTTTTCTTTTTCTTCCTCTGTCAAAAAAGGCTGGTTTGGATGATGTTGGATGTGAATGTATTTTACTTGTTTGGATTTAGAGAATGATCATGTACATGCTGTTCAAAATACAATATTTGGCTAAAATCAGATTTCTTTATCAATATGAGCTCCCTTGTTGATGAATATAATGTGTTCAAGTTAGGGTGTTCATCTCTTTTAGTGTTTCTAAAATAACAACCGGTTAAATCTACTACACATGTTGCATTAATTTCATTATTAATATTCAAAATTTTTTTGGAAACAGACAAAAAAAAAATGCTTGCTGGAAATTTCATATCCTACTTTTGCTTTGTTTACTTGTATTTTTAAAAAGAAAAAAAGAAAGTATTTCATGTAAACCATTGCTTTTAATTTGAGGGAAGGTTTTATTTGGAAAAGTAAAGAATGGAAGAATTGTGTTCAAGAGATTTTTAACTCTGGTTTGAGGTCACAGTAAACAGTATATTTCCTTTTATTGGTTTTGGCGTTAGAGTTACCTCCCCTTTCGAGTTAAGTATCTCATATGCAATAATTTCAATCAGAATTAACAGATTGCTGTTAGTAGATTTGACATACTTTTGATAGCTATTATTCAGTATCCCTGAGCTATTGAACATTCAAATAGAAACAAATGTTTAGAAAAGCTGCCCTCTTTCTTGACCTAAATATGTAATTCTGTTGACTTCTCTATGATATCCAATGATAAATGAAGATACAAGGTTTTCCTAACATGGGAGGCAAAAAATTAAAGGTGACCATAGGGCATAAAGTGAAATGAAACATTTAATGAACAAGTACAGTAAAAACACTGTTGTGACATCTTGTTTGAAAAATTACAATGACTATTCCAGGGAAGGGGTCGGTTAAAAATATGATTTTGTACAAACTTGGATTTAATCACTTAAAAGAATCACCCTGCTATGATATAGAACTATAACTTGCTGGATATGCTTTTCATTTCTAAGATTATAATTTCAGGACAAGTTGGGAGTCATTTCAGAATCAGCCATATTTACTGTCCATGTACTTCTAATAATATTAAATGCTGAATGTGATGTGCAGTAAATGGAAGAAACAAATAAAATCTCTACTGAGCTTATCTCGGATGTTTTAGTAAGAAACCATTTTGGCTGCTTCATACTACTCATAATAATTCTAGAGAAAATATCATTTCATGTCTGTAAAATTGATTTTGAAACTTAATTTATTTTATGCTTCTTTACCTATGCTTTGTAAATGCTTTACATTATCATAATTATGTATATGTACACCTGAACATTTTACTGTATGTGCATGTTATCCATGAGATGAAATACAGTAACAATCCTTTTTACTTCTTTATGGTGATAGTTTTGATATTTATGTTCGAAACTCTTTAAAACTACTGGCAGAAGTAGGCTACGAGATTTTTCAAATGAATGCAAAGCAGAAATTTCTAGTTATCAAATAACTTTATTTTTCAAACTTGATTTTGTAACAATCCTTAGTATATGATGCTGTTAAGAACATTCTTCGTGTTGCCATCTAGTTTTATTTTACTGAAAAACATGACGGAATCATGTACTGTATACTTGATATTTGTTCACAGTACATTATAAAGTTACCATTTTAATACAAAAGATGATGTGAATATGTTGAATTTCATTTTTGATGAGGAACATTTTGTATTATTGTAAGTATGACTTCTTACAGAAAATCTGTTGTGGCCTTTTCAAACACCTGCTCTAAAAAAATAATAATTCCCCAAAATATTTTGTAGAATCATATTATTTTCCAACTTTAGCAATGTTTTGCCTCCAAATTGTTATTTTCCAAGTGTTTTTTGTTTTTGGTCACATTTTGGTGGTTTACATGTTATGTATTCAGAATATAGAGTGTTCTGTTGATGTGTCTTGAAAAACAATATTCAAACAATAAGGAGTGATTTTGATTTGAAGATCGGATAATGATCCAGCATACAACGCCAAATAATGCATTGCAGCTGTCACCTTTTATGCCTCAGAACTTTTCTGATCACTGCAGAAATTTGTTCACTTGCTGGACCCTTTCCTCGTATCAACCAGTGTTTAAAATGAGTCTTATATCACTTTGCTGTATAATATCCTTTTTTCCCACATACTGCTACATACACTGTGATTCTTACTCACTAAAGCATATAACATCTCCAAGTTATAAATGAAAAGTCATTGTAAGATGTTCCAAAATAAGATTGGGGAAATTGTAAAGATAAAGCCTCCACTTTGTATTCAATAGCATAAAACATTAAAACAAACATACAGAGGAATGTGTAATGAACCCTTGATACTAAATATGCATTACTTATTTGTTCAGAAAAAGTGGAAACATAGACATATAATTCTGAATGATAATTCTCTATATATTAGCTGAACATAGTGTGTGTAGATTGTATATGCTGACAAAAGTGCTTTGTGGATAAAGCTTTAATATCAGTATATTGATCTATGTAGGATTTGTTGTATAAATAGTCAATTCTGTAAAATTTTGTCACATTGCAGAAATGCAACCAAAAAATATAATAAATTTTATTGACTTTGTCAATACATGTATCTACAGGTTTGGTTTTATTAATTGATGTTGATGCTCAACTGAAGCATTGTAGTATCAAGTTTGTTTGTATAAGCGCCTACCAGGATTTTAGAGTGTCTACAAGAATGTACTTCAAGGATTGAATGAGCGCCTGTAAGGATTATTCAAACACCTACCAGAGTTATACAAGTGTCTACATAGATTGTACAAGTACCTACCAGAATGTTTAAAATCTAGGAGGTTACTGAGGGAAATTGAAAGAAATGTCAAAAAAAAAAAATAATGATAATAATAATAAACATTCTTTATTGAGGATAAAACATGTTTAGCCAAAGACTAATCTACCACATGGTCCTGATGGGAAGTTGACAAATTCCAAACTTCGAAATATTGAATAAACTCCAATATCACGGAAATTTGTTACGATGTCCAAAACATCTGTATATTCTCAGCAAGGCTACTTTTTGAATGGATTAAAACATGGCATGATGGTTAAGGCAAAAGTCCACCGGCAGTGTCTATTACCTACAAGTATTGTATACAAGATACGCAAGTGAATAGCACTTTTCAATAGAAGTATAGAATTAATATACCATTAAAACCAAATGATTAATTGGACTGAATCATACAGGTTTTTCTGTTCCAGGACTCTTTCATGCATCTGCCAATAGGATGACTGTGGTCAAAATAATTATGGCAAGAAGTACACACAGAGTGGCAGAAAAAAAGAAGACACATGGGAAGCAGAAGATAGACACATGAGGGGCAGAAGCTAGACACAGTGAGCAGAAGCTAGACACATGGGAAGCAGAAGATAGACACATGGGGAGCAGAAGATAGACACATGAGGGGCAGAAGCTAGACACAGGGAGCAGAAGCTAGACACATGGGAAGCAGAAGATAGACACATGGGAAGCAGAAGATAGACACATGGGGAGCAGAAGATAGACACATGGGGAGCAGAAGATAGACACATGAGGGGCAGAAGCTAGACACAGGGAGCAGAAGATAAACACATGGGGAGCAGAAGATAGACACATGGGGAGCAGAAGATAGACACATGAGGGGCAGAAGCTAGACACATGGGGAGCAGAAGCTAGACACATGGGAAGAAGAAGATAGACACATGGGAAGTAGAAAATAGGCACATGGAAAGCAGAAGATAAACACATGGGGAGCAGAAGATAGACACATGGGTAGCAGAAGATAGACACATGGGAAGCAGAAGATAGACACATGGGGAGCAGAAGATAGACACATGGGGAGCAGAAACATGAGCAGAAGCACATGAAGCAGAAGATAGACACATGGGGAGCAGAAGATAGACACATGGGGAGCAGAAGATAGACACATGGGGAGCAGAAGCTACACACATGGGGAGCAGAAGATAGACACATGAGGGGCAGAAGCTAGACACATGGTAAGCAGAAGATGAACACATGGGGAGCAGAAGATAGGCACATGGGAACCAGAAGATAGACACATGAGGAGCAGAAGATAGACACATGGTGAGCAGAAGATAGACACATGGGGAGCAGAAGATAGACACATGGGAAGCAGAAGATAGACACTTGGGGAGCAGAAGATGGACACATGGGAAGCAGAAGATAGACACATGGGAAGCAGAAGATAGACACATGAGGGGCAGAAGCTAGACACAGTGAGCAGAAGCTGAACACATGGTGAGCAGAAGATAGACACATGGGGAGCAGAAGACAGACACATGGGGAGCAAAAGATAGACACATGAGGGGCAGAAGCTAGACACAGGGAGCAGAAGATAGACACATGGGGAGCAGAAGATAGACACATGGGGAGCAGAAGATAGACACATGGGAAGCAGAAGATAGACACATGGGGAGCAGAAGATAGACACATGGGGAGCAGAAGATAGACACATGGGGAGCAGAAGATAGACACATGGGAAGCAGAAGATAGACACATGGGGAGCAGAAGATAGACACATGGGGAGCAGAAGATAGACACATGGGAAGCAGAAGATATACACATTGGAAGCAGAAGATAGACATGGGGAGCAGAAGATAGTCACATGGGGAGCAGAAGATAGACACATGGGAAGCAGAAGATATACACATGGGAAGCAGAAGATAGACACATGAGGAGAAGAAGCAAGATACATGGGAAGCAGAAAATAGACACATGGGAAGCAGAAGCTACACACATGGGGAGCAGAAGATACACACATGGGAAGCAGAAGCTACACACATGGGGAGCAGAAGATAGACACATGGGGAGCAGAAGATAGACACATGGGGAGCAGAAGATAGACACATGGGGAGCACATGGGAGCAGAAGCTAGACACATGGGACAGAAGATAGACACATGGGGAGCAGAAGATAGACACATGGGGAGCAGAAGATAGACACATAGACACATGAGGAAGCAGAAGATAGACACATGGGCAGAAGCAGAAGATAGACACATGGGAAGCAGAGCAGAAGATAGACACATGGGGAGCAGAGAGAAGATAGACACATGGGCAGAGATAGACACACATGGGACACAAGCAGAAGATAGACACATGGGGAGCAGAAGATAGACACATGAGGGGCAGAAGATAGACACATGGGGAGCAGAAGATAGACACATGGGGAGCAGAAGATAGACACATGGGGAGCAGAAGATAGACACATGGGGAGCAGAAGATAGACACATGGGGAGCAGAAGATAGACACATGGGGAGCAGAAGATAGACACATGGGGAGCAGAAGACAGACACATGGGGAGCAAAAGATAGACACATGGGCAGAAGATAGACACATGGGGAGCAGAAGATAGACACATGGGAAGCAGAAGATAGACACATGGGGAGCAGAAGATAGACACATGGGGAGCAGAAGATAGACACATGGGGAGCAGAAGATAGACACATGGGGAGCAGAAGATAGACACATGGGGAGCAGAAGATAGACACATGGGAGCAGAAGATAGACACATGGGAGCAGAAGATAGACACATGGGAAGCAGAAGATAGACACATGGGAGCAGAAGATAGACACATGGGGAGCACATGGGAAGAGAAGATAGACACATGGGAGCAGAAGAAGATAGACACATGGGGAGCAGAAGATAGACACATGAAGTGCAGAAGCTAGACACATGGGAAGCAGAAGATAGACACATGGGGAGCAGAAGATAGACACATGAAGGGCAGAAGCTAGACACATGGGAAGCAGAAGATAGACACATGGGGAGCAGAAGATAGACACATGGGGAGCAGAAGATAGACACATGGGGAGCAGAAGATAGACACATGAGGGGCAGAAGCTAGACACAGGGAGCAGAAGCTAGACACATGGGAAGCAGAAGATAGACACATGAGGGGCAGAAGCTAGACACAGTGAGCAGAAGCTAGACACATGGGAAGCAGAAGATAGACACATGGGGAGCAGAAGATAGACACATGGGAAGCAGAAGATAGACACATGGGAAGCAGAAGATAGACACATGGGAAGTAGAAAATAAACACATGGGAAGCAGAAGCTACACACATGGGGAGCAGAGGCTAGACACATGGGAAGCAGAAGATAGACACATGGGGAGCAGAAGATAGACACATGGGGAGCAGAAGATAGACACATGGGAAGCAGAAGATATACACATTGGAAGCAGAAGATAGACATGGGGAGCAGAAGATAGTCACATGGGGAGCAGAAGATAGACACATGGGGAGCAGAAGATAGACACATAGGTGACACATGGGGGAGCAGAAGATAGACACATGGGAAGCAGAAGAAGATAGACACATGGGAGCAGAAGATAGACACATGGGAGCAGAAGATAGACACATGGGAAGCAGAAGATATACACATTGGAAGCAGAAGATAGACATGGGGAGCAGAAGATAGTCACATGGGGAGCAGAAGATAGACACATGGGGAGCAGAAGATAGACACATGGGGAGCAGAAGATAGACACATGGGGAGCAGAAGATAGACACATGGGGAGCAGAAGATAGACACATGGGGAGCAGAAGATAGACACATGGGAAGCAGAAGATAGACACATGGGGAGCAGAAGATAGACACATGGGAAGCAGAAGATATACACATTGGAAGCAGAAGATAGACACATGGGGAGCAGAAGATAGACACATGGGAAGCAGAAAATAAAGACATTGGAAGCAGAAGCTACACACATGGGGAGCAGAAGCTAGACACATGGTGAGCAGAAGATAGACACATGTGAAGCAGAAGATAGACACATGGGAAGCAGAAAATAAAGACATTGGAAGCAGAAGCTACACACATGGGGAGCAGAAGACAGATAAGCACACATGGTGAGCAGAAGATAGACACATGTGAAGCAGAAGATAGACACATGGGAAGCAGAAGATAGACACATGAGGAGCAGAAGATAGACACATTGGGAGCAGAAGATAGGCACATGGAAAGCAGAAGATAGACACTTTTGGAGCAGAAGATGGACACATGTGAAGCAGAAGATAGACACATGGGGAGCAGAAGATAGACACATGGGAAGCAGAAGATAGACACATGGGGAGCAGAAGATAGACACATGGGGATCAGAAGATAGACACATGGGAAGCAGAAGATAGACACATGGGGAGCAGAAGATAGACACATGGGAAGCAAAAGATGGACACTTGGGGAGTAGAAGATGGACACATGGGAAGCAGAAGATAGACACATGGGAAGCAGAAGATAGACACACGGGGAGCAGAAGATAGACACATGGGGGCAGAAGTAATTGATGACAATATCGATGGGTGTATGTTCTGAACCGTGCCAGTCTATGCATACTATATATTATGACCTGTTGAAAAAACACCGATTTAAAATACAAGATAATACAAACATGGGAAAAGAATCATAATCCAACCTCAAATTCAATAAACCTAGGGCAAAATATAAAATGGAAGATTTACACGGAGAACCCCAAGGAGAATAAAACTTGATGTTCAGGAAGAGTAAGCGTCTTCTTTTTCATCAACGACACCTTCATGAATATCTTGGTAAATTTTAGAAAATAACATCAC